TGGAGTGGAGTGGAGTGGAGTGGAGTGAGTGGAGTGGAGTGGAGTGAGTGGAGTGAGTGGAGTGGAGTGAGTGGAGTGGAGTGAGTGGAGTGGAGTGAGTGGAGTGGAGTGAGTGGAGTGGAGTGAGTGGAGTGAGTGGAGTGAGTGGAGTGAGTGGAGTGAGTGGAGTGGGTGGAGTGAGTGGAGTGAGTGGAGTGAGTGGAGTGAGTGGAGTGAGTGGAGTGAGTGGAGTGAGTGGAGTGAGTGGAGTGAGTGGAGTGAGTGGAGTGAGTGGAGTGAGTGGAGTGAGTGGAGTGAGTGGAGTGAGTGGAGTGAGTGGAGTGAGTGGTGTGAGTGGAGTGAGTGGAGTGAGTGGAGTGAGTGGAGTGAGTGGAGTGAGTGAGTGAGTGAGTGAGTGAGTGAGTGAGTGAGTGAGTGGAGTGGAGTGAGTGAGTGAGTGAGTGAGTGAGTGAGTGAGTGAGTGAGTGAGTGAGTGAGTGAGTGAGTGAGTGAGTGCGTGAGTGAGTGCGTGAGGGAGGGAAGGAGGGAGGGAGGAAGTGAGTGAGTGAGTGAGTGAGTGAGTGAGTGAGTGAGTGAGTGAGTGGGTGAGTGAGTGCGTGAGTGAGTGAGTGAGTGAGTGAGTGAGTGAGTGAGTGAGTGAGTGAGTGAGTGAGTGAGTGAGTGAGTGAGTGAGTGAGTGAGTGAGTGAGTGAGTGAGTGAGTGAGTGAGTGAGTGAGTGAGTGAGTGAGTGAGTGAGTGAGAGGAGTGAGTGAGTGAGTGAGTGAGTGAGTGAGTGAGTGAGTGAGTGAGTGAGTGAGTGAGTGAGTGAGTGAGTGAGTGAGTGAGTGAGTGAGTGAGTGAGTGAGTGAGTGAGTGAGTGAGTGAGTGAGTGAGTGAGTGAGTGAGTGAGTGAGTGAGTGAGTGAGTGAGTGAGTGAGTGAGTGAGTGAGTGAGTGAGTGAGTGAGTGAGTGAGTGAGTGAGTGAGTGAGTGAGTGAGTGAGTGAGTGAGTGAGTGAGTGAGTGAGTGAGTGAGTGAGTGAGTGAGTGAGTGAGTGAGAGAGTGAGAGAGTGAGAGAGTGAGTTAGTGAGTTAGTGAGTGAGTGAGTGAGCGAGTGAGTGAGTGTGTGTGTGTTGAGTTGATGTCAGTGTGAGTTGATGGCAGCCTGCGCGTTACTACTGCGCACTACCTGCCATCTTAGTAGATGTTTTTTGCCACACGCTTGTGGGCCTGCTTCCTTCCGCAAACGTGCCTCGCGCAAGTTGCCCCGTGCTGATTGCAGTAAACTGAGGCTGCCGGCGCGGCCGGCGGTGCGTCAGCAACGTAAATGCCGCGCCCCCCGAAGGGGGCGAAGGGGCTGTGTGTAGATCCCTCCCAATCGCTGGGGAGGGGTTTACTCCCCTTACCCCTCGTTACAGGGGTGCCCCCCTGCGCCGCCGACTTTCTTTCCCCCTTATGTATCAGCCCATAGTGGGCCGGCAGGCTCAAGAAACACAATTCGGCTCTTGGGGATACCCCCCCCCGAGCATGGGCCGCAACTTGGGCCCAGTTTTGCGAAAACACTGGAAAACACTGTGCTTTTCTACGTGCGCAAAATGTGGAAACCTTCTGAACAGTGAGGCAAAACTGCTCCCCATCTAAGCTCGGTTTTGGGCATGGTTTTCGCTCAAGACATGAGCAAAACACTGTGTTTTTTTTCGCGTGGGCGCAAGGCCTCGAAAAGCGTGAAAAGCATAAGTTTTGTGCGGAAACCTGCTTATTGGTGAGGCTTCACTGGCCCCCGCCAAACCCGGCTTTGGAGATTGCATTGCCTACAGCGAAGTGTCTCGAAGTAAGAGTGAGTGTGAGTGAGTGAGTGAGTGAGTGAGTGAGTGAGTGAGTGAGTGAGTGAGGGAGCGAGGGAGCGAGCGAGCGAGCGAGCGAGTGAGTGAGTGAGCGAGTGAGCGAGTGAGCGAGTGAGCGAGTGAGCGAGTGAGCGAGTGAGCGAGTGAGTGAGTGAGTGAGTGAGTGAGTGAGTGAGTGAGTCAGTGAGTGAGTGAGTGAGTGAGTGAGTGAGTGAGTGAGTGAGTGATTGAGTGAGTGAGTGAGTGAGTAAACCCCTCCCAGCGGGTGGGAGGGATCCACACACAGCCTCTTCGCCCCCTTCGGGGGGCGCGGCCGGATTTACGTTGCTGACGCACCACCGGCCGCGCCGGCAGCCTCAGTTTACTGCAATCTGTTCGAAGCACGGGGCAACTTGCGCGGCACGTTTGCGGAAGGAAGCAGGCCCATAAGCGTGTGGCAAAAAACATCTACTAAGATGGCAGGTAGTGCAACAGTAGTAACGTCACAACACACACTGACATCAACTCAACACACACACACACTCACTCACTCGCCCCCTCCCCACAGGGACTGCCGCAGCGCAAAAATTGGGCTAGCTTTAGGCCACGGTCTACGACAGGGTGTAACTGTCAAGGGGCGGTCTTGGGTGGGAGGCGGGGTGTCAAATATAAGAGGAGAGCAGCAAGCATCTTGCCTGTGCGCGTGTGCTAGTCGCAGTCGCTGTGAGCTGATAGGTAGCTTCTGTTAAGCACGCGCTGCTGCAATCCGGCCCAGCTCGGCAACACTCAGCTCCTTCACGTCGATCGGGCGGCAGGCGGCATGGCAGAGGAGCGCAAGGTGGAGGAGGTGAGCGATGAAGACGATCTCCGCAGAGGGTTCGTCGGCGAGCTTTGAAATTCGCACGGCGCCAGAGCGAGAGCGCTCCGACACGCACAATCTCCGCAGAGGGTTCGCGGGCCACGTAAAAAAGTTCGCACGGCGCCACAGCGAGAGCGCTCCGACACGCACAATCTCCGCAGAGCGTTCCTCCGCGAGCTTTGACATTCGCACGGCGCCACGGCGAGAGCGCTCCGACGCGCACAATCTCCGCAGAGGGCTCCTCCGCGAGCTTTGAAATTCGCACGGCGCCACAGCGAGAGCGCTCCGAAACGCACGATCCCCGCAGAGGGTTCATCCCCCCAGCGCCCGCCAGACCCACCTTCGTCTAAGAAGAAGATAGAATTTAAAGGCTGCGAGCTTCGGCTGGGTCAGTAAAGCTGCGTAAGCTAGGCTGTGTAAGTCAGGCTGCGTAAGCTAGGCTGTGTAAGTCGGGCTGCGTAAGCTAGGCTGCGTAAGTCAGGCTGTGTAAGCTACGCTGCGTAAGTCAGGCTGCGTAAGCTACGCTGCGTAAGTCAGGCTGCGTACGTGAGGCTGCGTAAGTCAGGCTGCGGCAGTCAGGCTGCGTCAGTCAGGCTGTGTCAGTCAGGCTGCGTCCGTCAGGCTGCGTCGGTCAGGCTGTGTAAGTCAGGCTGCGTAAGTCGGTTTGAGTAAGTCAGCTGTGTAGTCGGCAACCGTTTTTTCCAAAGAACCCTTCGCGATGCTTTCGGGAAAACATGACATGACATGGTATAACTTCGAAGAGGCGTAGCCGGCTATAGAGGCCGCAGGCCCAGAAAATTTCCAGTACCCGCCACCAAGGACAGCAGTTTGCCAGTCTTGCCGTTCAGCGCTTCGTCCTCCAAATCTAGCGGCTTCACCTCACGGTTTCCGCCATTCCAAATGTACATGGAGCCGAATCGACACTTCTCCAGCCTTGTCGCCTTTCCGGAACATCACCGGCTCGCTGCTCTGCTTCGGCTCCTCCTTCTTCTCCTCCAAACCGAAGGGTTTCTGATTTTTCCGCCTGGCAAAGCAGATGGGTCCAGTCCTCCGGATCTCAGGCAACCCAGGGATGGTCCCTCCATGCCTCCTTCTCAATCTCCGAGAAGTCTCAGCCATCCTGAGCTGCAGCCGGACGTGGGAGATGGATCCATGCAAACATGCCGACAACCAGAAACAAGACACTGCGCATCACACATGCATGAAACTAGAATGACAAAGTGGCTAATGTTTCACGTTGCCAGGGAGCGTACTCTTTGAGCCGCCCGACCACTGGATACCGCGCAGTAAAGTGCTTGTACCAGCCAGCAAGCGCCTTGATCTGTTCAGGGGTGAACTGATCCAGGGTAAAGTCCAAGCGGTTCGCCTGGGTGCAAAAGCCCCAGCACAAAACCGAGCAGCTCAGCGCAAAATCAGACAAAGCACATCCTCTGGCTTGAGCGACAAGGTGGCCAGGGCAAAGGTGGCATCTCTGCCTGCCCAAAGCCAGCCGTAGCCCTCGCCAACCTGACAAGCGGAGCCATTCACTTGCAATGGAGGCGCCCAACTGGTCTCTCAATGGCGCGCTGTTGTGGCCAAACAGCCTCTGGTGATGTCGGCCAAAAGCAAGATGGATCTCTGCGCTCCTCTCTGCCCCGCCTTATGTTTTCACTGGTAGACACGTTGACCTAAAGCCGCACACTCGGAGGTCGCGATGGGGAAAGGCAGGGCAAGCAGGCAGTCGTCCTGCTGCTTTACGATCTTCCGCTAAGTGAATCACACTGCTGTACATGCGCCTTCACGTCTAGCGCATCAAGCGCATTGACTTTACACTCTGGCCTGCAGGCATTGCCCTGCCTGTAAACAACCGGTCTCTCACTTCCCCTCCATCGGTGCTTTCCTCAAGAGCGTTGGACCGCGCTCCAGGTCCAGAGCCGCCGGGGCGCCCTCGTAGACGCCGCCCGGCTCCAGGTTGCTTCCTTTCCAAGTCAGGCTGCCCGGGCGCTCCGTCTCCGGCATCGCACATGGCAACACTTGCACCTGTCATGATGGTCACCCCGTGGCCGATCTTGAAGGTCGTGAACTTGAGCCAGAAATCCTTAAAGGAGTGGCATCGAACCTGGCCGTCGTAGTCCAAGGTCACATCGTCCCCCACCTCCGTAAAGGGCGCGTCCACCAGGACCATCTCGTTCATGCAGAAGAAGCGCTTCCCCACGCGCGCGCCAAGCAAGCGCAGGATGGGGGCTTGCCACCGGCTACCCGCTGTCTGAAATGGCAGCTTGAAGACCCGCTGCTGCGCAGTGAGTGCAGTAAACCAGCGTGTGACGGTGGTGGAGTAGTACGCGTTGCTGTGTGGAGCGCTATTGTTGAAGAGCAGGTTGCCCAACACCACTGAGAAGAGATACCAGGAACCCAAGGCATAGGCCATGTAGATCAAGAGCAGAGCAAAAGGCTCCCAAACCTGCGTGATCACCGGGCAGAAGCGGCGGCTGCTGAGCAGCCGTGACCATGCCCTGCACGCCGCGATAGAGGAACACGTCCATGACGCTGGTGCTGAAATGGTGCCACATCCGCGACAAGCAACTCGCACGCTCTGGGCCCTGGCGGGTGCCTGCGGATTGGTTGCCGAGGCGGCGGAACTTCATCGCGGGATTCCCGAAGTAGCTCATGTTGGGCTCTGTGGGCCGATTCGGCAGCCAGGTGCCTACACCGCAAAAGCTGCCCTCCGGAAGGCCCTGCGGCAGGTGGTTGTGATTGCCCAGGAAGGTGTGGTCGCTCATGACCGTCTTGCAAGGCACTTTGAACTGACCCTGGTCCACGTCCACACTGGTGAGGATATTGCCCGTGGCGAAGAAGCACCCGTGGCCCACCTCCAGCGTCTCTGGCAAGGTCACCTGCAAGCCCGTGGCGCAGCCGTGCCCAAAGCATGCCCCGCACATCCGAATGAACCATGGCACGATGGAGGCGTCGGCCAACATCTCCGAAGCCTGCAGCACCATAGACATCTTCAGCGCAGCGATCTGTGCGCGAATGCCCAGGGAGCGCTGGAAGGGAGGCTGCACTTTCGGCAGCAGCCGGCAAAAGGAGGCTGTCACCAGGAGCTGCATCACCGTCTGCAGCGTTGAAACGGCGAAGGCCAGGACCGGGATCCACTTCAGCTGGTCCAGGTACATCAACGGCAAGGCGTCCACATGATCATCTGCCACCATCTCACTCCGCACCTGACTCTCGTTCTTGTAGAAGGAAGTGATCAGCTGAAAGCCCACGACGGCCAGCACGGGCATCGCAGCCTTGGGGATGAGGAGGACCCATTAGCCCGTGGCCAGCGCCGCCGCCCAGCGCCGGAAGCTCCGCACCTCCTCCGGCTTCACCAGGCGGCTCTGGTCCAAGGGACCCACCGCCGCCGCCCAGCGCCGGAAGCTGGAGCCACCTCGCAGCCCGGCTCCAGGGTGCAGTTGGGGCCCACGTAGGCGCCCGCTCCCACCTTCACCGGTACCGTGGCGAGCGCGTCCACGGAGATCAGGTCATAGGCCACGCACCTCGCAGTGATCACCGCCGCGGAGTGGATCTTCGCTCCCAGGGCCTTCAAGGCGAGGTTGCGCAAAAAGAGGAAGGGGATGCTGCTCCCCTGATGCGCCGCCTGCCCCACCAGCGTGCCCTTGGCCACGTGCTCCACCAGCCAATGCCGGAGATAGTACAAGCTGTAAATGTCATGATCTCCTTCGCGGTAGCGCCCAATAAGAATTCACTTTGTGGCCACCAGGATGAACACACGGAGACATTGCTCGAAGGTCAGCAAGGCAAGCAGCACGATGGCTATGAGCCACATGGGCGCCACAAAGATCATGGGCAGCAAAATCCGTTCAGCGAGGAGTAGCCGTGCTGCAACCATCACCGGCTGGGCCAAGATCGCCAGGCCCTGCACCATCGCGCACAGCTTCGGCCAGCTGTGGGGTCCGTAGCTCTTGTTCTTGCCGCGGCCCAGCATGTAGGGCCCCAGCTCGGTGGCCAGCGACAGCCTGCTCGCGGAAGCCAGCAGCCCGCTGAGGCGACTGTTCTGGGACCAGGTAGCGCTGTTCAAGCGAGGAGCCTCCGGCACCGCAGTGAACCACGTCTGGCCCGCCACCACCAAGGTCTGCGCTTTGCTTCACCTCCCGCACGACCTCCTCCAAAGGCACCGCGTTCCGCAAGAGCTTCCCCAAGGCGTTGAACTTCCAGTCGCCGCTGTCAACCATTTTGACCTGGCTGAGCATGTAGCCCCGGCCCAGTGACAGCGCCTTCTGCTTCAACTCGGCCTCGCTGGAGCTGCCGGAGACCAGCAGCACCAGCCGCTGATTGTCCTCAGAGACGCGGGCCTCGCAGTGCTGAACTCCCGCCAGCTCAGCGATGGCCTGCTCGGTGGCGATTGCATTCGGACACCAAGACTGTCTTCTCCGGAAACGACTTTTCCTTCGGAAGCTCAAAAAAACCATTCCGAGGGAGTTAGACCCAATGATCAGAGGAACCCGTAAGTCCCCTAGTGGAAAGCAGAACTGTTTTGTCTGGCAACCTGGCAACTTCAAGGCAGCATGGATTGGTCTGGCTCATGCAGCAATCCAGCCATGAGCAAAACTTGATCGTCAAAATCCCTCGAAGCTCAACCAGAAACAAGAGGCCGGCATGCCTGAAGCCTTACAGACATTTTGGAAAACACATCACTCTAGGGTTTCTGCTGCGCCTGTCACTTCTTCAGGTAGACAACACATCACTTTAGGGTTTCTGCTGCGCCTGTCACTTCTTCAGGTAGTCAACACATCACTTTAGGGTTTCTGCTGCGCCTGTCACTTCTTCAGGTAGTCAACACATCACTTTACGGTTTCTGCCGCGCCTGTCGCTTCTACAGGTAGTCAACACATCACTCTAGGGTTTCTGCTGCGCCTGTCACTTCTACAGGTAGTCAACACATCACTTTTGGGCTTCTGCCATGCAATTGCACTCAAAACAAAAACTTGCGAATACGAATAATTTCCCCGTGGCTCAACATTGCAAGAGCCAATGGCTAATATCATCATCATGGGCGGCGGCAAACGCCGAAGGCTCGCTGAGACACATAAAGATCATGAATCACCATGATAGAATTATACCTTATATCCACGAAAGGTTACCCAAAAAAAACGCCCGGATCACTCGCGCACCCCACCTGCGATCACTTGGGCACCCCACCGGCCAAAATAGACCGCGGATCACTTACGCACCCCAGATTTCGGATCACTTGCGCACCCCAAATGCCCAAAACGCAGGGAAAAGTCCATTTCGACCGCCGGCCCCTTGACCCGACAACCCCAAGAAACGGATCACTCGGGCACCTCACGGGGCGCTCAAGCGATCCAAAACGGGGTGCCTAAGCGAGCTGTTTTCGGGGTGCCTAAGCGAACCCGCGCCCTTTCTTTTAGAGGCCTCGCTTTCTTGCTTGCTCCTGGTCAAATGGTCGCCATGCTGGAAAGGCTGTGGGATGGTCCTTGCGACCAATATACAAATATACAAAAGCTTGTGTTGATGCTGCCAAGCCACTTCGAGTTTAAACTTCTCGCTGACACATAGGCATCCGATGCACCTATCACTCGCTCACTCTGGGGAATTGCACAGGCATGCATCCATCTCTGCAAGGCTTCGCAGTTTGGACACGTTGGCCAAGAGAAAACATATTCAGTCTCTGTTGCAGATACTGCACAATCCCTTCCGGCCTTCGTACCACGATTCTTCCACTGGCCTTGCAAATGTCCGCAGGCGCGCCACTTCTCAAAGGAACAACCTGCGCCTCACGGCGAGAATGGCGACCGCCAGTACAAGCTTTGAGCTTTGAGATGTGGGTCAGAACAAGATAGATCTAGAGTTTGCTATGCATCACTGTAGCAGCGAACATGACAAAGTTGGCTAACCTTCAGTTTCATGTGTGAAGACCGGGTCTTGGCTCTCTACCTTCAGACAGGTGTGCAAGCCAAGGGCGCAAAAAGACATGAGAATATGCTACTTGTGTTGCAAAGTGAGCCAAAGCCCACAAAGCCACGGCACGGCCACGCCATCCGCCCAAGTCTGCCTCCTCTGTGCCGTCGACCTGCGCCTGACCAACGATCTTGTGTCTGCTGCCAGAGAGGCAGCATGGCTCAAGGTGCTGACAATTCAGTGTTTGTTTGGCTGAGCTGAGCTGAGCATGTGTCAGGTACCGCTGTGTGACAACTGTGGCTTTAACAGTGTGATTTGCTCTTGTGGCCATGCGGTAGGACCAATCTGCAAGGCGCCGGTTGAGCTGCGAATGTCAATATACAGATGAAAACCTGACTTCTTCCCTTCCCATGGTCGAACTTCTCACTGCAAAACAGTGTCTTTGATGATCGTCAGCTGCCCTAAACCCATCCTAAACCAACCCTACCCCACAACACAACTACAGGACCGCGGGCGGGGGAAGGGGGGACGAACAACCCTAAACCAGCCTCAATCGAATCCTAAACCTATAATTTCAAACCCACCCTAAACCCATCCGCTGCACCATTTTTGACTACTGGGTTGCTTGTGCAATAGTAAGTAGATCATGCAGGGTGGACGGCTTGCTTTCGAAAGCAGGTATCAAGTATACAGGAACTGCACTTCACCTCACAGTGACTGACCCAAAAGCTTGTCCAACTTCCCGCCCAAAGAACATCAAAGCGGACAGCTCCACTGCAACTCAAGCACCTGGAAGCCTTGAAAACTTGCAAGAGATCAGATTTTCTTCTGTGCAACGATTCTTCATCGTCTAGCCATGTGTGGCATCACGGACTTCAGCTGCCACTAGGTGTGTACCCGGTGAGACGGCGAGAGCAAAGGAAAATGATCAAATTTGCTCTCATCGACCCACGCAGCGACAAGCTGCAAGCTGCACAGCATCTACACTTTGGTTATGTTCTTGGGCTTGACATACACGGTGTTGTCGTCCTCAGTCTGGCAAGACGACCTACTCGTGGCATGTGGCGGTTAAGCCTACAGCGCGATTCCGGGCATTCGACGATAACAATGCCCCCGGTATGAATCTACCTGCTGGGAAACACCCTAGAGGCAACAGCATCAAGTTAGGATGCCTCCGCCAGTGCTCGCCCCGCAACACTTCGAAGCATTGAGCCCGGTTCCGGCGGATCCCATTTCGAATCAACTGCTACAAACCAAGTCGCGGCCCCATCGCTGTCGTCCAACTCAATGGCAAACTTTCCAGTACCCGCCACCAAGGACAGCAGTTTGCCAGTCCTGCCGTTCAGCGCTTCGTCCTCCAAATCTAGCAGCTTCACCTCACGGTATCCGCCATTCCAAAATGTACATGGAGCCGAATCGACTCTTCTCCAGCCTTGTCGCCTTTCCGGAACATCACCGGCTCGCTGCTCTGCTTCGGCTCCTCCTTCTTCTCCTCCAAACCGAAGGGTTTCTGATTCTCCGCCTGGCAAAGCAGATGGGTCCAGTCCCCCCGGATCTCAGGCAACCCAGGGATGGTCCCTCCATGCCTCCTTCTCAATCTCCGAGAAGTCCCAGCCATCCTGAGCTGCAGCCGGACGTGGGAGATGGATCCATGCAAACATGCCGACGACCAGAAACAAGACACTGCGCATCACACATGCATGAAATTAGAATGACAAAGTGGCTAATGTTTCATGTTGCCAGGGAGCGTACTCTTTGAGCCGCCCGACCACTGGATACCGCGCAGTAAAGTGCTTGTACCAGCCAGCAAGCGCCTTGATCTGTTCAGGGGTGAACTGATCCAGGGTAAAGTTCAAGCGGTTCGCCTGGGTGCAAAAGCCCCAGCACAAAACCGAGCAGCTTCAGCGCAAAATCAGACAAAGCACATCCTCTGGCTTGAGCGACAAGGTGGCCAGGGCAAAGGTGGCATCTCTGCCTGCCCAAAGCCGGCCGTAGCCCTCGCCAACCTGACAAGCGGAGCCATTCACTCGCAATGGAGGTGCCCAACTGGTCTCTCAATGGCGCGCTGTTGTGGCCAAACAGCCTCTGGTGATGTCGGCCAAAAGCAAGATGGATCTCTGCGCTCCTCTCTGCCCCGCCTTTATGTTTTCACTGGTAGACACGTTGACCTAAAACCGCACACTTGGAGGTCGCAATGGGGAAGGCAGGGCAAGCAGGCAGTCGTCCTGCTGCTTTATGATCTTCCGCTAAGTGAATCACACTGCTGTACATGCGCCTTCACGTTTGGGAAGCCACGCCGTCTACGGTGCCTCTGCAATCAAAGGTCTAGCGCATCAAGCGAATTGACTTTACACTAAGGCCTGCAGGCATTGCCCTGCCTGTAAACAACCGGTCTCTCATTTCCCCTCCATCAGTGCTTTCCTCAAGAGCGTTGGACCGCGCTCCAGGTCCAGAGCCGCCGGGGCGCCCTCGTAGACGCCGCCCGGCTCCAGGTTGCTTCCTTCCAAGTCAGGCTGCCCGGGCGAAGTGTCGCTCCGTCTCCGGCATCGCACATGGCAACACTTGCACCTGTCATGATGGTCATCCCGTGGCCGATCTTGAAGGTCGTGAACTTGAGCCAGACATCCTTAAAGGAGTGGCATCGAACCTGGCCGTCGTAGTCCAAGGTCACATCGTCCCCCACCTCCGTAAAGGGCGCGTCCACCAGGACCATCTCGTTCATGCAGAAGAAGCGCTTCCCCACGCGCGCGCCAAGCAAGCGCAGGATGGGGGCTGGGCTTGCCACCGGCTACCCGCCGTCTGAAATGGCAGCTTGAAGACCCGCTGCTGCGCAGTGAGTGCAGTAAACCAGCGTGTGACGGTGGTGGAGTAGTACGCGTTGCTGTGTGGAGCGCTATTGTTGAAGAGCAGGTTGCCCAACACCACTGAGAAGAGATACCAGGAACCCAAGGCATAGGCCATGTAGATCAAGAGCAGACTGCGTGATCACCGGGCAGAAGCGGCGGCTGCTGAGCAGCGCCAGACCCGTGACCATGCCCTGCACGCCGCGATAGAGGAACACGTCCATGACGCTGGTGCTGAAATGGTGCCACATCCGCGCCAAGCAACTCGCACGCTCTGGGCCCTGGCGGGTGCCTGCGGATTGGTTGCCGAGGCGGCGGAACTTCATCGCGGGATTCCCGAAGTAGCTCATGTTGGGCTCTGTGGGCCGATTCGGCAGCCAGGTGCCTACACCGCAAAAGCTGCCCTCCGGAAGGCCCTGCAGCAGGTGGTTGTGATTGCCCAGGAAGGTGTGGTCGCTCATGACGGTCTTGCAAGGCACTTTGAACTGACCCTGGTCCACGTCCACACTGGTGAGGATATTGCCCGTGGCGAAGAAGCACCCGCGGCCCACCTCCAGCGTCTCCGGCAAGGTCACCTGCAAGCCCATGGCGCAGCCGTGCCCAAAGGATGCCCCGCACATCCGAATGAGCCACGGCACGATGGAGGCGTCGGCCAACATCTCCGAAGCCTGCAGCACCATGGACATCTTCAGCGCAGCGATCTGTGCGCGAATGCTCAGGGAGCGCTGGAAGGGAGGCTGCACTTTCGGCAGCAGCCGGCAAAAGGCGGCTGTCACCAGGAGCTGCATCACCGTCTGCAGCGTTGAAACGGCGAAGGCCAGGACCGGGATCCACTTCAGCTGGTCCAGGTACATCAACGGCAAGGCGTCCACATGATCATCTGCCACCATCTCACTCCGCACCTGGGGATCGTTCTTGTAGAAGGAAGTGATCAGTTGAAAGCCCACGGCGGCCAGCACGGGCATCGCAGCCTTGGGGATGAGGAGGACCCAGTACCCCGTGGCCCGCGCCGCCGCCCACGCCGGAAGCTCCGCACCTCCTCCGGCTGCACCAGGCGGCTCTGGTCCAAGGCTCCCACCGCCTTTGCCGGCACGCCCGACACCCGGCTCTGCACCACCATGCGGCTGCTCACCGTGGACAGCGGCTCCACGTAGCCCGTGGAAGCCACCTCGCAGCCCGGCTCCAGGGTGCAGTTGGGGCCCACGTAGGCGCCCGCTCCCACCTTCACCGGTCGCAGCGCCATGCGGCGCTCCCCGTAGTTGACGGCCGTCAGGTGCCTCGGCCCGTGCACCGTGGCGAGCGCGTCCACGGAGATCAGGTCATAGGCCACGCACCTCGCAGTGATCACCGCCGCGGAGTGGATCTTCGCTCCCAGGGCCTTCAAGGCGAGGTTGCGCAAAAAGAGGAAGGGGATGCTGCTCCCCTGATGCGCCGCCTGCCCACCAGCGTGCCCTTGGCCACGTGCTCCACCAGCCAATGCCGGAGACAGTACAAGCTGTAAATGTCATGATCTCCTTCGCGGTAGCGCCCAATAAGAATTCACTTTGTGGCCACCAGGATGAACACATGGAGAAATTGCTCGAAGGTCAGCAAGGCAAGCAGCACGATGGCTATGAGCCACATGGGCGCCACAAAGATCATGGGCAGCAAAATCCGTTCAGCGAGGAGTAGCCGTGCTGCAACCATCACCGGCTGGGCCAAGATCGCCAGGCCCTGCACCATCGCGCACAGCTTCGGCCAGCTGTGGGGTCCGTAGCTCTTGTTCTTGCCGCGGCCCAGCATGTAGGGCCCCAGCTCGGTGGCCAGCGACAGCCTGCTCGCGGAAGCCAGCAGCCCGCTGAGGCGACTGTTCTGGGACCAGGTAGCGCTGTTGAAGCGAGGAGCCTCCGGCACCGCAGTGAACCACGTCTGGCCCGCCACCACCAAGGTCTGCGCTTTGGGCGTTTGCCCAGACTCGGAGATCACCAGCTGCGGGCGATCCTCCACCAGCGTGGCCCCACAGCTCATCGTGGCCACGGCTGCCACCGTCCGGGCGCAAGTGCCCAGACCGGCGCTGAGGCGCACGCGCTTCGAAGGCATCAAATGCGGGCGCCACACCTCCACCAGCGCCGCCAGCTGCGAGTGGGACAGCACCAGCGGCTGGGTGGCAGGCGCCAAGGCCACGCACGCGGCGTCCTCCGCCTTGGCACCAAGGTTCGCCAGCGGCGGTTGGGCGAGGAGCGCAGAAGCGCCGCTCACGTCCACTAACGCGGCGCTGGTTTGGCCCTTCCAGGCCAGCTCCGCCAACGTCTGCGCCTCTGCCATGACGGCACAAGGTTCGAGCTGCTGCAGCTGCTCCGCCAAGTCTTCAGTGTTGTCAAGCAAGCAGAAGGCGAGACCCTCCATGCATGCCGCTATCATCGCAGCCATCTGCTGGTATCCTTGCAAAAGGATAGCAACGGGGGCAGGACGGCGTGGCTTGGCGCGACGCAACAGCCGCTGATAGGCGCAGGCCAACCTCCGCATCTGCAGGTAGCTCAAAGCTTCGCACTGCGACTCACGGCACAGGCTGTGGGGATTCATCGCCACTGAAGCCAAGAAGACATCCACGAAGGTCTCGCCCGCAGAGTCTGCGGTCACCTTGTCGTCCGAGTCCGCGGACTCCTCGGACAGATGCTGCGCAAGCGCCTGCACCGTGGGGTACTCGAAGAGCATCTGGAGGTCCACCTTGTGCAGCCTGGGTCGTGCGCGCATCTGGGTGATGAGCCGGCCGAAGCCGCCCGAGTCCACACCCAGTTCCTCCATGAAGTGGTCCTTGCGACTCCAAGCTTCCGTCACCTGCGGCGCCAGGCACTGCGCGATCTCCAGCTCCAGCTCAGAGCACTCGCTCTTGTCAAAGGCCTCCCATCCGTCCTGCTTCACCTCCCGCACGACCTCCTCCAAAGGCACCGCGTTCCGCAAGAGCTTCCCCGAGGCGTTGAACTTCCAGTCGCCGCTGTCGATCATTTTGACCTGGCTGAGCATGTAGCCCCGGCCCAGTGACAGCGCCTTCTGCTTCAACTCGGCCTCGCTGGAGCTGCCGGAGACCAGCAGCACCAGCCGCTGATTGTCCTCAGAGACGCGGGCCTCGCAGTGCTGAACTCCCGCCAGCTCAGCGATGGCCTCCTCGGTGGCGATTGCATTCGGACACCAAGACTGTCTTCTCCGGAAACGACTTTTCCTTCGGAAACTCGAAAAACCATTCCGAGGGAGTTAGACCCAATGATCAGAGGAACCCGTAAGTCCCCTAGTGGAATCCCTGGAAAGCAGAACTGTTTTGTCTGGCAACCTGGCAACTTCAAGGCAGCATGGATTGGTCTGGCTCATGCAGCAATCCAGCCATGAGCAAAACTTGATCGTCAAAATCCCTCGAAGCTCAACCAGAAACAAGAGGCCGGCATGCCTGAAGCCTTACAAACATTTTGGACAACCGCGCAGAGTGTCAAAACTTGCTCGCGCTTCAATTTCAACGCTCAGTGAGAGCCGAACGCCAGCTGTCCCCAATGTGCCCAGCACCAAGGCCCGAAAGGAAGGTGCGAGGAACAGTGCGCACAAGTACCTGTTTGGCAGTCAGACAAGCGCGCGGTTGCCAACATAGTGGCAAGACAACAAAGCTGCCATGACATTTTTTTGAATCAGGCCATTTCCAGTTTCTAAACGGAAAGTGTTCGGCCTGCTCCAGCGCCTCCAGCTCGATCCGCACACCTCGCACCTTCACCTGCCAGTCCACACGGCCATGGTAGTTGATGCGCCCGAGCTTGTCCACGGAGGCCAAACCCCCGGTATCGTACACGCGGCTCAATCGCGGGTGCTCAAGAAACTTGGACCGTGTCTTCTCCTCCTCTTCCAAGTACCCGCGTGCCAGACCCACGCCACCCACGAAGAGCACACCCTGCTCGCCCTGGGCCTTCTCCTCCAAAGTCTCGGGATCCAGGATGTAGCAGCTGTATGTTGGCAACGGTCCTCCAATGGTGATAGGCTCCCCAGGGGTGACGTAGGCGCCCGTGCACACCACTGAAATCTCCGAGGGGCCGTAGCTGTTCACCAACCTGCGTCCAGGCCCAGGCATCCACGACGTCAGCGCCTAAGGCCTCGCCCCCGACGTCCAAAATCTTCAAGTGCGGCAGCGCGCGCGTGGACACCTCCCCAGCGGCCGACATGGTGCGCAGGTGCGAGGGCACTACGCTCATGCCAGAGATCTGCCGCTCCTTCAACCACGAGACCATGTCCGGCCCAGATTTCTTCACCAGGTCCGGGCAGGTGCAAGACATGGAGGCCACCTAGGGTTGTACAAACACAGGTGGTATCGGGGCTGTCCTCTTTGTTTGCTCCTTGATTTGCAGTGATTTGCTTTTTGCTAACCGGGTTCGACCCCACCATATTCCAAGTTATATAATCATTTAATGTTACAGGTTTATGCTCGGAAGCGCGTAAACCAATTCTTCAATATTCATGATGGTCCAATAAAATGTCATACCGGGTGTTCGTCTTTTTACTCTTTACCGTTTTGCAAGGGTTTGTGCTTTGTCGAGAAAGCCAGGGCCCTACAACCCCACCTGTGCGAAGCGGTCCTGAGAGGAGAGCCCGACGTAGTTTCCCCAGATGCGTGCCACGTTCAGCGCCGACTTGTGGCGGATCATCACGGCCTTGGGCTTACCTGTGGAGCCACTGGTAAAGATGAAGTAGGCCAGCCGGTCAAGGTCGTCGGGGCTGTGCCTCGCCTTTGTCGGCACCGTTGCTTCCTCTGCCTTCCTAAGGGCCAGGTCCACGTCAAGCACCACACGCGGAAACTCGCCCAAGGAGGCCGCGATGTCTGTCAGGCCCAAGCGCTTCAGGACGCCGGAGCTTGAGATCATCACGGGCGGCCTCGCCACCTCCACCCAGGTCCTGAGCTTCTCGATGGGCTCCGCGACGTCGAAGGCGCTGTAGGCACAGCGCTCCAGCATCACGGGCGATGCTCTTCACACCGCGATCCAGGACTATTGTGACCACATGCTCGTCGGCACGTCGTCGGTGAGCTTCGGGTGAGCCTGGCTCCGTCGGCAGCTCAAGGGACTGCAGGGCCTTCCGAAGGACCCTGCGGATGGCTGTGGCCATCCTCGCCATCTGGGCAAAAGTATAGCAGGCTGTGTCCACCTCCAGGCACACGCCCTCCCCTTTCTTCTCGGCCGCCGTCAGCAGCAGCTCCCCCAAATTGGTCTCGTACCCCGGCATGCACAGCTGTCCATCCACCTCGACCAGTTGTTGATGCAAAAGCTCCAAAGCATTCGCGTCAAACATGGCCGGCAAAATTACTCTACACTCCTCGCGGACTGCGACAATGCTAGAGAAGGGGCTTGCTTGAGCCAGACCCGGGAAAGTGGACACTGCGACGGGATAAATCAGCCACAAAAAGTCTGTGTCACCTCGCAACGATCACAGAGCAAAGCAAGAGCCTAGGCTGCCAAGTGGCCACTTTCCCGCAGACTGCCATGAAGATCGGCCCAGTAACTCCATCAAACATGCCGAGAGAGCGCAGACTGAAAATCCCATCCTTGGCTTCACACAGAGCTCTGTGGACCCTCTCACCACAGGATGCGAGAAAGCGGCCGCGGGCAGGGCAGCTTTCTTCGCCCTGCGCTTCTGCAAGAAGTAAAAGACAGCTACAAAGAGTAGGCCCAGAAGTGACGTGCTTGCCAGCAAAAGTGGGCTTCGTCCACCTGGGAAACAGGCCAAACAGCAACAGCTTGGAAGCGTCCCGCAAATGCGGTATAAGTGCCGAGCCCATCTGTTGAAGCACTGCTGTATCCATCGACACTTGCCGATTTTGAGCTATTTCCTCATGTCTAAATTCTGGTGGCTGGCTGTTTGTCATCCCCTGCTGTGAAACAGGCACTGAGTTTGGGAGGTACTGTCTCAGCCTCGAACTGACTTTCGGTCTTGCTGGAATCACATGTTCATGCACATTCATGTTTGAGCCAGCAGAAGGCGCTTCGAAAACATCCTCTAACAAGAACAGCGTTTCATAGGCCCCCAAAATCTGAGACAAATGCTCCGTTCAATCAAAAGCAGCCGTGCAATTGCTGTGCACAATGCATGAAAGCAAGCAGGCCGCACCCCCTTACAGTCAATTCCTCACCTGCCAGAACCCCCACCCAACTGTTGTGAAGACTCTCTCTCTTATGCTTAAGCCTCACAAAAGATCAGTTTCAGTTCAAAGTTTGGCATTGTACATCCCCCAACAACAGCGTCGTCTTTCGCCCACGCGCGGGCCAGCTCGGCTTTCCAGCCTGGGCAGTGCTCAATATGTTTTGCTCCCGCCAAGGATGCGTGCGGACTTTTTGGAGTTGTTGCCAAAAAATGTGGATCTTGCCAACTTGTTTGATTGTAAAACAAATCAAAAATGCCATTCTATTGCAGGGTGGCCGCACACTCTGAAAGATCAAACATCTTCGTGGATTGCAAGCTTTCCTGTCACCTCCTCACAGTCCATTCCCACAACTGCCGTCGAAGCACGCGATCATGTACCGTCCAATCGTCATTTTTCCATCTCACTCTGTGATGCTGTGATGAGTTGCTCGTTTTCGTAGCCCGAGAATGCTCGGAAAAAACGTCGCACCAAACAAGGTACAAGTGCGACTGCTTCGCAAGCTGTCAAGAAACGAAGCAAGTTAGATGCAACAATGAAGGTTGGGTCAAGAAACTCTCGGGAACTAGACATGATGCATTAGTTGTTATAAGAATTTGTGTCGCGGCAGAGACGTGATCTGGAGAAGCTGGTGTAGAATGTGATTCGCGCGTGGATCCCGAATCCCGAATCCCGAATCCCAAAAAACCAAAGGCTGGGGCTTCCCAGTCTCGAATCCCAACTCCCGCATCCCGAATCTCGAATCCCGAATCCGAAACCAATCCCAAACCAACCCTAAACCAGCCCTAAATCAACCCTAAACCAAACCCTAAACCAACCAAAAAAACAACCCTAAACCAACCCTCACCCAGCCACCCTAAACCAACCCTAAACCAACCCTCAACCAGCCACCCTAAACCAACCCCTAAACCAATCCCTAAACCGACCCTAAGCCAACCCTAAACCAACCCTAATTCAGCCCTGAACCAGCCCCAAACCAACCCTAGTCCCAAATCCCGAAGAGCCTTGCCAGTCCAGAATCCCGCATCCCGAATCCCGAACAAGTAATCCGATCCCAAAAATGGGATTCAAATCCCGAATCCCGAAATTGGGAGCGACCCCCGGATCACCGCTCCGGCCGTAGGTGTCTGCGTCAGGACTCACTCGGTCGAAACTGAGGCAAGACACGTTGTCGCTCTTCGTCGAAAGCTTCAAAGCGAGCACAGGCCTCATTGCAGGATTAACCTGGAAACTGCAAACTGCCCAGCACAAAGGTTTATGGAGAAAGTGAAAGCTGAAATCATGGGGCGGCCCGCCTGCTGCAGGTTGATCTGCATTTCAGCCAGCCGTTTGTCGCCATCCTCCCTTGAAAGAGGACCCGACCTGGCTGTCAGAGATCGAGGCAGGATAACAAAACGTGTCCAAAGAAGCGCAGTTGAGCGACAACGTCTGCAAGTCCAGCGAGTCTCGCCTCAAGAAAATGCGGCGAGACGGGCACCAAACTGAACTGAGGACGTGACAGCAGCCTCACGTTGATTTGAGCATTCTCCAAATCCTGCTGCAGCTCCAGGACTTGCTTCTTGAGCTGCACATTCCTGGGACTTGACTTGCGCCAAAAACCCATTGACTTTTGCCAGCGACACCCTGCGCAACAGCGCACTACAACATTCAGTCTCGCTTGCCCAACACCCCGCAATCACAGCAAACCCCTGCCCAAGTCCAGCCCTGGCCCAATCCTGCACAACAGCAATCTGCACAACAGGCGCACTCTGAGACAGCATTGCCGAAATTCCTACTCTATTCTAGAAGCACCCCCGAGTTGCGTTGCATCCGACCCTTGCACAATGCAAATTGTATTTACAAGGCGGAAACACCAGAACGCAACAGAATATGCAGCACAAGAGTCTCCAGCTCAAGCTCCGCGTCATGGTGCTCTGAGGCCGGTTCCTCCGGGACAGGTGCGTTTGGGGAGTCCAAATGCGATAGTTGAAAACATAGATTTCGTGTGACTGCCTCCTCACCATGCGAGCCGCCAGAAATTGTGCTTGGACTACAGACGCGACATGGACACAACCTAAATGTTGCGTGAATCCTTGTTCGAAGCCAAGAGGTGACCTATGCGAACTGCTTCCAAAACTCCATGTTCTGCTTAATTTGCTGGCGTGGTCAAGTGCTGTAATTGAAACACGGAAGTACGCCTTAAGGAAGCGTGTTCAAGCAAGAACAACGCGATAAGAACGCTGTGTTCTGCCGTACCATACTTGATGGCTCAATGCCCTCTGCGGCAGCCTGACACAAATATATATATATATATATGTATTTATTTATTTATTTATACGTATACATGTAAATAATATATATATATATATACTATTAATATATATATATATGTACATGATGGCCATTGTAGTTGTTGTCATCTGAGTCGAAAGGAGATCTGGCAGCAACGAAAGATATGCCAATGCCAAGCGGCAGTCTCTATTGGCTTCTCAAAGCATGTTCGAGCTTCGCATGCAAGTGATTTCTTGGCAGAAACAAAGAGAAAAGTGGCAAAGGGCCAATCAAACCTAGAACCCAGGAACCCCCTGCTACGGCGAAAGTTGATCTCCAAAAGAGCAAAGCTTTGTTTGACTCGTTGCGTGTTGAGCTCCTCTTGCCAGTGGTGTCGTGGTTTTGATAGTCAGGCAGAGACACGTTGCCTAGGTTTGCAAAACACTTCGAGTGCCTCTGCCAGCAATTGGGCCGCCCGGTGCTTGATACGTCGGGATGGTGCCTGCTGAAGCGCCACTTGCAGCTTGTTCATGCGCCCCAAAAACAATGTGAGTCGTCTCAAATGCCTGCACTCTCTCGCCAAAAGACAATCGTCTCACAAAAGATCCAGGCCTCAAGAGAAAAGGAATTACATTCCACACTAGATTGCTCCATCTCCAGGCAGCTTGCTTTCGGTCAAGTGTGTCTGCATCGTCAACCCCCCCTAGCCTCTTTTGCATGCGATGGTGAGCCAGGAAGCTCAAAGCCCGAGCTTGTCAGGTTGTCGGCCTGCCAGGGAACTCTCAGCTGGTTCAGCAATGAAATTTAAGAACGGATATGTTCTGCTTGAAGTTAACACCATCTGACTAGCAATTACCAACTATGCCTGTCTTAAGTCGGACTAGTGCTTCTGAAAGCAAGCGTAGAAAGCAAGACCCAACCCGGCGCGAGCTGAGCCTGCAACAAGTCTATGAGCGATGCTTCCCCACCAGCCATGCGGGCAACTGCCGCAGGAGTCTTCCCTTGCCTCGGCTCAAGGTGAGAAGTGAAAGAGGTCGATCCCCTTCCACGGCTCATTTCTGGGGCGGAGACCGGTCGCAGGCAAGCAGATCTGCTCCAACACTACAAAGCAAAAGCACTGCTTTGGCCTCGAAGACATGAGGCAGTACCGAACTCACGTACAAAGACCGCCTTCCGGACGTCACAGCCCTCCAAGGCCGCCGTTGCGGAGGCGATGTGGAGCGGTGTGACCTTACCGGGCATGACAAACCTTTATTCCATGACTTCGAGACGTATGCAAACGTGCACATAATTGGATTTACATACATGTTGGTACAGTGGCGATATCAGTAAGCCTGTCATGCTTGATGAATCTGTGAGCCAAGTTCCCACCCTCAGTCTCTCAGCAAATTAGCACCAAACGCCAAAATTGTTTGTAGCCGATGGGTCGGCTTTGGCCTGGAGTCATACTGTTCTCATTCCGTCCAACTGCACGCGCTTGCCGTTTCTTTATCGCAAAACGCGAACTAGAACTGTGCCTCCAGCAAACGCTCGATGGTGCTGAGCTGCTGATAGCAACAGGCCAGGTGCAACGGTGTGTCTGCCTCATCCTGGGCTCCGAACTATGCAAAGCTGCTTTGCAATGATGTTTTTGCAGCCGAGCAGCCGTCAAAACTGTGGGACTCGCTCGGGAGTCCAACCTCTTTTTGCCAACTTGAGGATTTCTGCAACAATATTGAATGAAACTGGACATTGCAGTGCCAAAGGAGGCACAATATGCAGACGGTTCTTTCAGTCAAAACGCGAAGGACCCTTCTGTGCCTGATGTCAATTTAGATATTGATACGCTTGAAATGTCTCTGATGCCGCTTGGGAGCAGTAGTTGGGAGATGTGCTCGCTGGAGGACGCCGCAATGTGCAACCTGGGTATCCAGGCTGGCCACTTCGCTGACCCGTCTTTTCAGCCCAGCGGCGCCCTGTAATTGTACACTCCTGCCAAATCAGGATCTGCATTGAGCTGCAGCAGGTACTCCACAACATTAGCATGGCCGCAAAGAGCCTACAGTTGGCAACTCAAAAATAGGGGGCAGCCACAGTCACATCCCACTGGTCCAAGCCCACTGCAGAAATGTGAAGTGGGGTCAACTCCCGCTGTCGCGAATGCCACTTTTGGACCACGGCCTCAGGCGATTCACGACCTGCCACCCCTGCCTCCTGTTGCGTGAGGCTAGGCTTGGCACTTTGGATCCAGCCATCGCAGCCACTTTGTCCAGAGCCCCCTGGAACGAGTTGAGAATCTAGTTGTGCCCCGAATCTCTAGAACGCCAGCCAACCGTTGGCCTGCATTGCAGCCTTCAATCTTGATCGGTATACCAAACTGCCACCGGTGGCATGCTGACAAACAGCCCGGGTACTGGACTGCTCTGTTGCAATGCCAGCAATATCCGCCTCCCAACTGGAGATGTGCAACGGGCTGATGCTGCCATACCTCTTTGTCAGCAGCTGCAGCAGCTGATGGGCATGCCTCCTGGCGGCGACAATCTCGCGTTCTGGTCTGCTTGTGGCACTTCAAGGGAATCACTTAAAGTAGCCAACGCTTATCATATCTCGGCTGCTTCCTGCTCCCTGCTAAAAGTTTAACTTTTAGTGGTTTAGTGGAAAACCCATTAGTTGGCAAAAAGTTAAAGTCCTAACAGCCAAGCAAAATGCACCAAAGATATATGCAGGTGGAGATGCTACTAGTACGCGAAAAAGCCTCCAGGATGAATCCGTCGTATTCTCGAAATAATGCTGCCATGGCACATTGTGTTTTGTACAGTTCGCAGAGTCATAGAGTTTGCAAGCCTGCTCATCCAACCCATGCAAATTGGAGAAGGATGTTTGTTGTGACACGCCTGGTCTCCCATTGATCAGGAAGAAAAGACTCTTGCTCTGCATCCTTGCAAGGCAGCTTTCTTGCAGCAACGACTTTCTTGTGCCACGTCCCTTGCAGCTCGATTCAACAACCGAATTCAAGCATGTCTATCACCTATCAGTTCTGGATGCGCGAATTTCATGAGCACTGATGTCGCCTTCTCCTCTTGAATTGAAGCTTTGGGAAGATTGCCTCACTCAGCCCAAATCTGCAGTGCCTGTCTTGGAAGCCGAGGCTTGCACAAACCTGGCTGCTAGCCTCGGGACAGCACAGCTCATGGGCTCACAGAAAAGTTGCAGGATCTGTCCAACGGAAGCGAAAATGAGAACAAGGTGGCAAAAATGCATGCCGACATCAAATAAAGTCCCCGAGCAACATGAGTCATGCGACAATTCGGCGTGGCCAAACTCCAGGCTCAGTCACTTGCGAAACTCTGTGAGCTCCGGGCAGTGCTGACCCTACTGCTGGCCTTGGTAACGCGTGCACGAAGCACAGAGCGGCCAGCAACCACCAACATAAAGTGCTCAATCCTCCGAGTCCGCAGCAGACCAAAATGAAGATCCAGACCTGCAGAACATGTCCCCATGAGCTGTCTGTGCTATGCCCACCCTGGACTAATTGCTTCATGGCCTTGCTTGTGATGTAGCAGCATCTGCATCGATTCTCCTTTGGCAAGGAAATGAGACTACAGGGACAGGGCGTCCCCCGAGCGGCCCCAAAGCATTGGTGAATCACACGCTTCGAGATATTTGTGCACCCATTTGTTCTAGTCAACAAAGATTCCCATGGCAACCACCGCCTGCAAAAGATTAATTTAATCCCTTGTGTGAAGGTGTTGGGCCCCAAAATAATCCAGCCGCTGCATGCTGTTTTGATCATTTTCAAAAACCCAACCTGGGAACCCCGGTTGTCACCGGCGGATCCTGGCATCCTCCAACTGTGGGCCAAGTACCTCGCCAGAGCACCGAATTTTCTGCCAACACGTGTGGCAACTGAGAATGTGCAGTCTGCCTCATGCTCAGATAAACTGAGAAGCACTGTCTGAAATCATAGCTAGTGTTGAAAAATGGAATTAAATGCCAGTCTGGACCTGCAATTCTATTAGTATGCCGCTGTCCAATGGCCAATGGGCCATCTCTGACGTGCTGTGCGTGCTCAGCTACCGACAAGCAGGACGTCTGCAATTGACCGGCTTGGCCATGCGCGTGGCTGTGCAAAATATCAATACAGCAAACGAGAAAACTTGGGAAGCCCCTGCACCAAAAGAGGCAGACCTGGCTTGACTTCAAGGAACGCCAGTTCTGGCCACATGTCAAACATCGAAAGAAAGAACTCAGTTGGTCGGTTTCCTTTGAAAGCACACGTTCGCTGCAAGGCGCCCACCTCGCTGGCTGTGCGCTGCGGCTTGTCCCATGCAAGTCGCCGATCCATGACATGCCGCCAGCTGCAACCTCTACACCTCTAAAACTGTGGGCTTGTAGCATCACGGGCTACAAGTTTCAAGACATCTCGCAACCACAAGGGAACCTTGATAAAGAACTTCGGATTTGCGTGGTGCGATCGTTGCAGGCACAAAAAGCTTCTAATGATTTCAGCAATCCCTCATTCGATTGCCGAAAGAGGGCGTGTTCTTGGGCGTAGCTTGAGCCTCGAGCTTCAAGTAGCTTCGTGAAGCCTGGTTCTGGCTCTTGATTGATCAGATTGATCTATGAAGACTTATGAAGACTTAAGACTCATAACATGGACTCAACATCCTTGAAAGATGTCTTTCTTTCTCAAGTTTACTGACCGTCGGCATGTTTTCCTCATGCTCTCTGCCGTATATGGTTGCCAAGACTGCAGCCACGATTAGTTGAATACCGTGAGCTGTGCCTAGGAAGCCGGCAACTTGAAACTGGCAAGCCTCGTTTCGTCGTTTGACCGGGGTCGGGTCCACCCAATCAAACCACGGATGGTACGTCAAGGGCCGAATGGCAGCTGGCTAAGACGGGATCGCTAGCATGTTGGATTCATCTAGTCAACTGTCCAGCATGCCATCAGCACGGGTTGGCCTTTGCAGATTCAAATGTTCAAACGCCGGCCGAACCTCTCTTGACGAATCTAGAGCGGTACAACGAACATGAGATAAAAGTTGCCATAAGCTGTGTCTGGCGTGATGGTCACAAAGTACCTTTAAAGATCCCCTGCAGGGCTGAGGAGCCAACGGACCTGGTTCGTTGGACTTTAAATCAGTCGCCAGACGGGTCTGACTTTCGTGCCACAAGATCTGCGCCAAGATGTTTGGATTGGGCCAGCGCCTGTGGCACTGGACCTCTGTGCAGGCGTCAAGCGAAGTTGCCGGATTGCGTGACTAAACATCTTCTCGACAAACGGCATTTGCCCAAGTCACAAATCTGCTACAAGTACACTGAGAGGCTCAAAGAAGAAACGCAACCTGCAAAAGGCAATCACAAGGTCCGGTTTCAATGGCGCAGTCTTTGCTCAAAGTTCAAAGACACCCGCTCAACCTCTCAAAATGATGAAAGCTTGTGTATGCATTATTGTTGCGAGAGGAGGAACATGGAACGGGTGCTTAGGTCAAATTCGACTGCCTTGGCAGTCTATCACGTGCATTCAAATGTGCCCTCTGTTGGGTCAAAGCTTATCCTCTTAAGCCGAGAGGATCACCGGGCAGGAAACATTCCAAGCTTGGATGAGTCTTGCCTAAGTTCCAGCATGCGTCTCAAGACATTGGCTCGCCGACCAAATGCGCTCTTAGCGGACGATCCAAGGCCAACCTTGGCTCCGTGTTGACAAGACTAACCACAGATCAGCTGCAAGCCGCCTTGCGGGCTAGAACGTCCTGTGAATAACTGCAGAGAATAAGCATGCAAATCCCTGGCAGGCGGCTTTTTGATTGAAGCAACCAAAACAAACACTTGGCAAAGGGTAAGGCTCACTCATGTACACAACTACTGCCGGAGTCTGAACTGGGAAACGCGCTGCGACAAACTCCCAACGCTGGACTTCCCCACAAGGCTCTCGTGCCCATAATGTGCATGTTGCATGTTGGCTTGAACAACAAATGTTTAAGTCCGTGGGTCCATGACTGCACACATGTGGTTCGTGATCACAGCCCAGTGCGTCAAAGTCGCTCCATCCTGTCGGCATCCTCCATACGCTTCAAACTCTCCTGTAGCCATGCCGTTGGCACTTTCTGATGGATTCTTACAGGAATGGCATGCTGCGTCACTGTTGAGCAGGTGGCAAGAAATCAACATGCATGTCAACATCTGCGACTGATCTCTGCTGAGGCACCCATGCTCTGCTTTCACCTGGATTTGCATCAATCAACAGAAGCTGCGTCGAATTTCATGTTTGACTTGCTTTGATGGTCAGGCCACAAATTTGTCCCTTTCGAGCGTTGGCCTTGTGTTTCTCTTCAATGCAAGCAGAAATGGGAAGCCGCCAAGTTGCTGCATGCTGCAGGTGTCCACGAAGGAACTTTCCTGCAACACATCTGGCATACAGGATGTGTTGTCACATCTCGCAGGTGCGGTGCCACCAAGTTGATATTTGAAGAAAGGGAGATAGAAAAAGAGAGAGAGAGTGAACCGTTGCAGCGGATATTCAAATACCCAGCATGACAGGTTACCAACAAGCGTGAACCCCCTGCCTGACTGCTGGCAGGCTGGCCACCAAACTCCATCCATGGGGTGCCATCCTGGAGGTATTCTGAAGTGACTCAACTCGGGGCGTGGGGCGCAGTGCCCCCGTCTCAAAGCCAACGCTTCCGCTTATCTGGAGGCATGGCCGCACCGAAGTCTCTGATGCCGCAGTGAAAAATTGAGGGACATACGGCGTGCAAGAAAACGGTGAGACCATACTCTAAAGAAAATTGCACAGAAAAAATGTGAGCCTTGTTTCAAATGGCTTGCTGCTGATCTACTGCGCAGCGTGGGAACCAGTCCAGAGAGGCTACCTATGTATGGACACTCCGAAACCGCTACGGCGCAAGCAGAAACAAATGGTGTGAATTGCACACCGCGCGTGCGCAAAACACCTTTCAGCGCTGTCCACTGCAATTTATGATCACGCACCTGCTGTCTGTTCGGATCCTACGCAGAAGACGGTATCGATGAATCGGCCCTTGTTCACTGCCCGCGTCGATGGCCTCACAAACAAAGGCCTCACATGCGAACCGTAGTCATTCTTTGCGCACTTATGTGCTGCTTCTTCTGTTCTCGTCGAGTTTCCCGGTACAATACTCGTACACTTGTCAACTGCAGCGCCGCCTTTCCCGTGCTCTTCATGTGGATCACATCTTACGGGTGTCCCGCCTCGTGAGGCACACGTACGCCCGCATCCACAGGCTGAATGCCGTCAAGGGTGCGAAGCCTTGCCTTTGAACGACGGCAACGTCGTGTCGCTCGCCCTGGATGGGCGCTGTGCTTTGCTCAGAGCTGTTCTCAGAGCTGGCACCCAGGACCATTGAGAGAAAGCGGAGCATTGGAGCCCGACAGAAAACGCGCTGGAGCCGGGCATCTGCAGCCTTGAGCCAAAACCGCTATACCAAAGGAGACAACATCTAAAGGATGTTGCGGTTCTGGTCACCACGCAATCTGCCCAAACACATCCTCATCGCTCCACGAGGACTGCGGCTCCTCCACCCTGGTCCCAAAGCCTGTGCACAACCGAGAACGCACAACACCATTGGCTCAATTTCTTAGATTAGCACGCTGCATATAGATGTCCTTCACCTGCAGAGTAAATCTATCAGCCTGCTACTTCACCGACTTATGGCTGAGAAGCACCAAACAAAGTGCCTCCTGCAGCATCTCTCCCAGCTCGTTCTCAGAAGGCACCAGCGCTTCACGCAAACCTCTCAAGAGCGAAAAGTCAAAAGAGCTGGTCATGGCAATCTCAAATGACAACATGAAGACTTGGACAAATTGGGGGAAACCCAACACACCAAGCTCCAAATACCCCGACCTGTGGGCGCGGTCTTGATCCAAAGCGTGCCGTCCCCGTCATAAGTGAAATCCCCCGTCTCCGTATCAAACTCCACATGTTCCACCTCCTCACCATACTTCTGCTGGTAGAGCTGCTTGACCTCTGCCAGCTTCTGCTCAAGACGCTCTACCCGGCAGTCACGAGGCACACCGGTTCCCTCAGTCACTGTCCAGGCTGTGCCATCTGCGTCGTACTCCAAGTCCACGCTGCGACCGTACTTCTGCGAGTACAGCTTCTTCACGGTGGACAACATCTGCTCCAGCCTCTCCACGCGCATGTCTGCGGGAACGCATGTGCCTGTCGTCTGGATCCAGGGGGTGCCCTCCTCATCATACTGGATATCCGTCTCCTCATCCACCTCCTCGCCGTACTTCTGCTGGTAGAGCTGCTTGACCTCTGCCAGCTTCTGCTCGAGACGCTCTACGCGGCAGTCACGAGGCACACCGGTTCCCTCAGTCACTGTCCAGGCTGTGCCATCTGCGTCGTACTCCAAGTCCACGCTGCGACCGTACTTCTGCGAGTACAGCTTCTTCACGGTGGACAACATCTGCTCCAGCCTCTCCACGCGCATGTCTGCGGGAACGCATGTGCCTGTCGTCTGGATCCAGGGGGTGCCCTCCTCATCATACTGGATATCCGTCTCCTCATCCACCTCCTCGCCATACTTCTGCTGGTAGAGCTGCTTGACCTCTGCCAGCTTCTGCTCAAGACGCTCTACCCGGCAGTCACGAGGCACACCGGTTCCCTTAGTCACTGTCCAGGCTGTGCCATCTGCGTCGTACTCCAAGTCCACGCTGCGACCGTACTTCTGCGAGTACAGCTCCTTCACGGTGGACAAAATCTGCTCCAGCCTCTCCACGCGCATGTCTGTGGGAACGCACGTGCCTGTCGTCTGGATCCAGGGGGTGCCCTCCTCATCATACTGGATATCCGTCTCCTCATCCACCTCCTCGCCGTACTTCTGCTGGTAGAGCTGCTTGACCTCTGCCAGCTTCTGCTCAAGACGCTCTACGTGGCAGTCACGAGGCACACCGGTTCCCTCGGTCACTGTCCAGGCTGTGCCATCTGCGTCGTACTCCAAGTCCACGCTGCGACCGTACTTCTGCGAGTACAGCTCCTTCACGGTGGACAACATCTGCTCCAGCCTCTCCACGCGCATGTCTGTGGGAACGCACGTGCCTGTCGTCTGGATCCAGGGGGTGCCCTCCTCATCATACTGGACGTCCGTCTCCTCATCCACCTCCTCGCCGTACTTCTGCTGGTAGAGCTGCTTGACCTCTGCCAGCTTCTGCTCAAGACGCTCTACCCGGCAGTCACAAGGCACACCGGTTCCCTCAGTCACTGTCCAGGCTGTGCCATCTGCGTCGTACTCCAAGTCCACGCTGCGATCGTATTTCTGCGCGTACAGCTCCTTCACGGTGGACAAAATCTGCTCCAGCCTCTCCACGCGCATGTCTGTGGGAAGGCACGTGCCTGTCGTCTGGATCCAGGGCGTGCCCTCCTCATCATACTGGACATCCGTCTCCTCATCCACCTCCTCGCCGTACTTCTGCTGGTAGAGCTGCTTGACCTCTGCCAGCTTCTGCTCAAGACGCTCTACCCGGCAGTCACGAGGCGCACCGGTTCCCTCAGTCACTGTCCAGGCTGTGCCATCTGCGTCGTACTCCAAGTCCACGCTGCGACCGTACTTCTGCGAGTACAGCTCCTTCACGGTGGACAACATCTGCTCCAGCCTCTCCACACGCATGTCTGTGGGAGCGCACGTGCCTGTCGTCTGGATCCAGGGGGTGCCCTCCTCATCATACTGGACATCCGTCTCCTCATCCACCTCCTCGCCGTACTTCTGCTGGTAGAGCTGCTTGACCTCTGCGAGCTTCTGCTCAAGACGCTCTACCCGGCAGTCACGAGGCACACCGGTTCCCTCAGTCACTGTCCAGGCTGTGCCATCTGCGTCGTACTCCAAGTCCACGCTGCGATCGTATTTCTGCGCGTACAGCTCCTTCACGGTGGACAAAATCTGCTCCAGCCTCTCCACGCGCATGTCTGTGGGAACGCATGTGCCTGTCGTCTGGATCCAGGGGGTGCCCTCCTCATCATACTGGACATCCGTCTCCTCATCCACCTCCTCGCCGTACTGCTGCAGGTAGAGCTGCTTGACCTCTGCCAGCTTCTGCTCAAGACGCTCTACCCGGCAGTCACGAGGCACACCGGTTCCCTCGGTCACTGTCCAGGCTGTGCCATCTGCGTCGTACTCCAAGTCCACGCTGCGACCGTACTTCTGCGAGTACAGCTCCTTCACGTTGGACAACATCTGCTCCAGCCTCTCCACGCGCATGTCTGTGGGAACGCACGTGCCTGTCGTCTGGATCCAGGGGGTGCCCTCCTCATCATACTGGACGTCCGTCTCCTCATCCACCTCCTCGCCGTACTTCTGCTGGTAGAGCTGCTTGACCTCTGCCAGCTTCTGCTCAAGACGCTCTACCCGGCAGTCACAAGGCACACCGGTTCCTTTGGTCACTGTCCAGGCTGTGCCATCTGCGTCGTACTCCAAGTCCGCGCTGCGACCGTACTTCTGCGAGTACAGCTCCTTCACGGTGGACAACATCTGCTCCAGCCTCTCCACCCGCATGTCTGTGGGAACGCACGTGCCTGTCGTCTGGATCCAGGGGGTGCCCTCCTCATCATACTGGATATCCGTCTCCTCATCCACCTCCTCGCCGTACTGCTGCAGGTAGAGCTGCTTGACCTCTGCCAGCTTCTGCTCGAGACGCTCTACGCGGCAGTCACGAGGCACACCGGTTCCCTCAGTCACTGTCCAGGCTGTGCCATCTGCGTCGTACTCCAAGTCCACGCTGCGACTGTACTTCTGCGCGTACAGCTCCTTCACGGTGGACAACATCTGCTCCAGCCTCTCCACGCGCATGTCTGTGGGAACGCACGTGCCTGTCGTCTGGATCCAGGGGGTGCCCTCCTCATCATACTGGATATCCGTCTCCTCATCCACCTCCTCGCCATACTGCTGCAGGTAGAGCTGCTTGACCTCTGCCAGCTTCTGCTCAAGACGCTCTACCCGGCAGTCACGAGGCACACCGGTTCCCTCAGTCACTGTCCAGGCTGTGCCATCTGCGTCGTGCTCCAAGTCCACGCTGCGACCGTACTTCTGCGAGTACAGCTCCTTCACGGTGGAAAACATCTGCTCCAGCCTCTCCACACGCATGTCTGTGGGAGCGCACGTGCCTGTCGTCTGGATCCAGGGAGTGCCGTCCTCATCGTACTCGACGTCAGCCTCCTGGCCATATTTTTGCTGGTACAGCTGCTTGACCTCTGCCAGCTTCTGCTCAAGCCGCCTAATGCGACCGTCACATGGCACCCCAGTACCGTGAACAACCTTCCAAACAGGTCCATCGGCGGCTTTCTCGGAATCCTTAGTTCTGCATTATTGAGTTCGGCAAGCGTGACAAGGATGATTGTCTGGAATCCGGAGAAAAAAAAAGAAAAAAAAAGCAAAAAAATATTTCTGGACCAGTTTCGTCGTCTGCGGGCAAGCCATACTTCTTTTGGTAGAGGTCCTGGCACAAGGGCACTGGAGTTTTGGGCAGGCCGCTTCGAGTTCATGGATGTGTCCTTCACTTCATCCAGGAGCCCTTCAAGAGCTTCCTGCGCGAGGCAGCCACCCCATCTCAACTGTGCTGGCGCAGCTCGCCTGCGAAGTGTGCTGACGAACCTTCAAGGTACCTGCCGGCATTCGGGCTTTCGGGAGGCACGCCGCAAAGTGAACGCAGCCTTCAGCGCGGGGTTCCTCGTCCTGTGGCTTTCACTGAGCTTGCAGCAAAGGCTCTAGTCGCTGTTTCGTGTGAAAACGGTACCGTTTGGGTTGTGGCGAGATCCACGGAAGCCAGCATATGGACACAGTTTGGCTCCTCTGCACGGCCATACTTCTTCTCGTAAGCCTGCTTGACGTTGAGGAGCACAGCCTGTCACCCGCTCCCCGCGTACGCGTAAATTGAGACACGGGGCGCTTTCGCCCGCCTCCAAATTCTCAGGCTCGCCTCGCTCGCCTCGCACACAGAAGACGCCATGCGGCTGGCGTGCCGTCGCTGGCCTTCCTCAGGCTCTTCTGGAATGGACAGCTGCCTGACGAGCCCCGTTGGCTTCTCGGCTCTGGCCTCCTTGACTCCCTTGGCCCTTGTGGCCCCTTCGGCCCCTTCGGCCCCTTCGGCCCCTTCGGCCCCTTCGGCCCCTTCGGCCCCTTCGGCCCCTTCGGCCCCTTCGGCCCCTTGGCTCTTGTTTGTTTATCTTCTGGGAGCTTTGGGGCATGGCCACTATGTCAAATGCCGTCAGACCTGCGAGCTTTCAGCAATATCAGTACGCCAACATGTTCCGGACGATCGCAAGCCAGCCGCTTGTTGACATATACTAACTGGCATCCCAGCCTCGTGAGGAAGGGGTGATGGTCGTCGTCAAAGTCGTGCTGAAGCAAGCAAAGTGCAACACTCATCCATGGGACAAAGCGTTCCCGCAAGAGGACATAGGACATTTAGTGAGTCGTCCGGTTTGCTGGATTTTTGGCGAATCCCCCATAGACTTGCTCAGGGCTGTGCACTTTGCAAAGATGCCTCCAGGCTCAGGCTGGGAAGACGAAACATCATGTTTGGAGTTGTCCTGACACAGAATCACGCACCCGAGCGCCACAAAATGCGGCGGACACACAAAAGAATCAGGCGCGGGCGGGGCTGTACTAGCCTCAAACAACAATAACAGCTCACAGAATCTTTACACTCTGGCTGTTCGTGGACCGACCAAGTTGTCCCAATTGCTTTTAATCCAAGCGGGTCTGCAGTGTCAGGAATGCTGCTTGAATACGCCTGAGGCTCAAACTTGTGACATGGGAGTACCGTGAGGGTGTGCCTGTCTGCCGTCGCTCAAAAACGGGTCAGCCAACATTGTCTGAAAGAACCTGCCCTCCTTTCATTCATCGACCTTCTATTCGCTGCATCGGATCCATCTCAAATTGTGAGGGGATGACGTTAGAAAAAAGGGGTCTCTGCCGCAGCCCCGCCCCGCCTCTGGTTTTTTGGCATGGGGGCTCGCGGGCTGTTTGCCGGCGAGCCCCAGATTAGCTATCTCAAGCTCCAGCTCGGCGGGGGGAACAAACCTGAGAACGAGTGTCTCATTGTTGAAACTGGAAGCGGCCACCTGTTGGTGCAGCACCTTCGGCAAATGCTGGGGCCACCACGCCATCTTGAGTTCGGACTCAGGAAATGAAAGCAGAATGCACGGAGTGTTGAGCGCTTGAGCTTAAACTGGCTGCGTAAAAAGAAAAGTGGCTCCAACACCTGTCAAGCCATGGCCAACTGTAGACTCTGCGCTGTATTTTTTCCAGGGTGACAACAGAAGCTGTACTTTCGTGGCAGCCTTAGTGCTTAGTAACCTTCGCTTCAACTCATGTGAATCGTAATCACAATCTGGTACTAAAATGGTCTACCCAGGACCATGTAAAAATTAACAAGGCGGCTGCACCTATTTATTGTTGGGACTGTCCCTTTTTAACCTTTATCTATCCGGTTTTTGTTGTGGCTCATGTTGATATTGTGCTGTGGGTCCTGTTGATGTTGTTTAACGTTTGGGAAGTATTGGAAGATTGTGTCGCGGATTCTGCAAATCATCACAAGCCCCTGTCACGGGAGCACTTGGGTGACCAGCCAAAGCCACTTGTAGGCTTTCTGACCTACATTGTCAGAAAATGTAACTTCATCTAACCCAAGAGCCAAGGCTTTGACTAAAGTGCGTTGATGTCACAGCCGAGGCATTGCTAGACCACGCAAGCTGCTTCCTGACACCCGCATAAGCTTCTTTCATCTCTGTGATAGCCGGCAGCTGTTGGGCAGTTGGCAGCGATGCCCAGCTTTCAGGGAGAGTGAGCAGTCATGCCATGAAAGGCCAAACCACAATGGCCGCAATCGCAAGTGCCACCCGCTCAGGACTGGCTGCTGATTTCGCATCCTGACAGCAGCAGGCAAGCTTGATAGCAAGGATGCTGAGTCCAACCGAGTGGCTTGACCAGCTGTGCTGCTTGCAGTCGAACCACAGACGCTGCGCGCTCAGCTAGACCGCCGAGGCAGGCAACGCGCAGCGTTTACAATAACAATGCTCTCTCGTAACGCCACACCATTCCCAGTGCCATGCGTCCTTGATGGTGGCATTGGTCGCATTGGCAGCATCCGTGATGTTGGTGGCATTGGAGATGCTGGTGGCGTTGGTGTTGTTACCAACGGATCCATCTGCCTTCGCGCGAAGGCAATCGTGGGCAAACCCTTCAACAACAGCGTCTCAAGAAATACAATACATCATAGGCCATGCAGAATGAGGGACCCCCGAAAAGTAGGCACTTCCAAGAGAACGAAGCATGGCCATGCCTTCTTCGCCGCTGTCTGATTCACAGAGCTGTTCTGGGATGATGTCTGGCACAGGTCATCAAGTCAAACAAAGAGCGCAGCACTTGTCAGGTGTCTCAACACGCCTCTGCAAAGATTTCCTCGACTTCCTGATCGACCTTCCAGAAACTGTGGCAAGATGTATGTTGTCTTGCAGATCCTGCCTCCACTTCATCTGCTTCCGAAGGTTCGACCACCTGCAAACGGCAGACAGCGGTTCATTCTTTCGGATCCAACCCGACACAAAGCGGCCTCCTTTGTCAGCACCGGGGCCTTCAGCCGCGCCTTGCGTTGTCGGCTTCCCACTTGGCACGTGGGCAGCAAGGCTGGCATAGACCAGGATTGAAGCGTCTTCATGCGGGAAGCCGTGGCAGTGGTCAAAGCACAAGTTCTGTGGAGGGCAGATTCCTCCGGCCTCATGCGCCTCCTCATCCAAGCGTGCCTGGTCTGGAGGTGAGCCCCTCTCGCTCACAGCCAGCAAAGGCAAAAACATTGCCTGACTGGACCTGATGACTTGGATAAAAGCCACGTTCAACAATGATCCAGCTTCAAAGTGCCTGGTCTCAAATAAACTGCAAATGTGCCAAGCCACCAAAAAGGCATACAAGTATGATCATGCATGCCTGCAGCTGAGCCCCCTACTACTCTTTTGGGTTGGTGATTTGGAGAGCAACAATCTGGGCTGAAATCTCCGAATTAATGATCCAAACCACAAATCAAGGAGCACCTGTTGTGTTGTGGCTGTGAAATGCCGCGAAAAACATTGGGCTCTTCATGTTGCTTGTCCACTTGCGTAAGTATTTGGAGCAGCTTCTTGACCCTGGCAGTCTCCAAAAGATTCACTCAAATTGGCTGGCCTCTCAATAGGCCGGTATCCCCAACAGCTCCGGAACCACCTGGAACCCTAGCCCGGAGTTTGGGCAATCAATCTGGGTCCAGCCCTCCACAGGCTCAAACCTCCTCACTCCCAGCATTTGCCCCTGTCTCCACCTTGACCTGCTGCTTGATGGAAGTGGTCTCCTCTGCTGACAGCAGGGTGTGCTGGACCTAAGCACGCCGAAATCAACTCTCACAAACTGCGGAAGCACAATCAATGCAAATGTTGTGCTCAAGGCACTCGAATGAAACTAGCGACAGCAAATTAATGTGCCGGAACATTGACCTGGTTATCTCCAAGATCAAAGCTTGCAGTGGTCTGCGGGAGCGCAGGCTGTCCTTCAAGCATTCTTCTGGGAAGCTTGAAGATCATGCCATCTGGCTTGCTGACTTTGCATCTTTCAAACCTCCCCGAGGTGGCGCTTGCAAAATTACCCACCCCTCCTTGGCAGACACAAGCAGGACGAACTGCACCTGGGCCACGGATCCATGAAAGTGTCAGGGTTGTGCAAAGGCCCACGCGCCACATGTGCATTGGCCACTGCCCCAAGCCGATCGCGCAAAGTCGGCAGGTATGCTATCATGTAAAGTTGCATTGCACGCTTGAGACGCATCAGCTCGCATCTGTTGCTTGCACCAAGACCCGGACAAGCAAAAATGGCAATATTGCCGACTTCATTGTCTCTAACAGGTCAATTTGAGCCTGCGACTCGTCAAAAGACTGTCAAATCAAGCATCATGCCCAAGGCCAACAATGACGCTCCTTGTTGACAATGATAAGAAGCGGCACACCAACGTGCACTTTTTTCAGCAAGAGGCACTGGGCGCTCACTGCATCTTCTTGCCATCCTCCTCACATGCCGACAGGCCACCACGATGAGGCACAAGCTTGGCAGCCGTCAGAAATCTGTGATTGCTTCCTGCCTTGGAGAGGGTGTGCTTTTAGTGGATTTGTGTGTGAAAGCTGTCAAGCTCTTTGCTGGTTGGACAGAAGTCGCCCTCCCAGCCTCACGTGCAGTCACCGGATCCAGCCCAACATCCCATCACACAATTCAGCATCACCAGCATCACCAGGATCAACAGGAAAGCAGCGGTGCCCCACAGCATTGCACCCACAGCATTGGACAGGACACATCAGAAGCACTTGCTAAAACTTTGCCCATGCTAGTTTCCACTTGAAGCACCGTGAAAAACTGAGGCTGAAAAGGTTGACAGTTCAAGCACGCCGTCTTCACGCTAGTGGGTTCAGTCGCAAACACATGTTGGTCCACACATGCTGCCTGCACAAGTGTCAGTCAAGTGCTCACAAATGCCAACTGCATGTGAGCTGTCCTGCAGCTTCTTTTCCAGCACCTCCAGCTCTTTCATGTCATTGATCACTGCCTCATGGGCTCGATGCTCTTGAGCCTTCGCCACGTTTTCTTCAGCCTTGTCCGACTTCAGCTGGCGCACCAGCTGCTGAAGCTTTGCTAACTCGATGCTGCGATCAGTGCTCAGCAACTCCTTGGAGCTCTGTCCAGTGACGCGAGCAGTGGTACGCTTCACATCAGAGGTGGCCATCTTGACCTTCTCAATGGCAGCTTTGGATCTAGCCAGCTTCTGCTGCAAATCTTGCAGTTCGGCTCTCTCCTTGCTAGCCTCTTTCTGCAAAGCCTTCAATCTTGCGGACTGCCCAGCGCCGGTTTCCTCCATGCTGGAGCTCGTCGGAGCACCTGCCTCTGCTCTGTGAAGTCCACGCTGCGCCTTCCTTGTGGCCTGCACAGCTTTGTCGGCAGCGGCTCTGAATCTTGCCAAAAGACGCTTGGCAGTGCGACTGCGCGCGTCATGGCGGGCTCGCTGAGATGCTCGAAGCACATCTTGCTGCTCTGTGGCTTTCACAGATTTTGCCACCTCCGCAGCCTCTGCGTTGATGGCCAAAGCCTCAGCGTTAATGGATGGAGCTTCTTCAACAGCATGTCGAGCAGCCAGGTCAGCGTTGACTTTGCTTAGCTCCGCCTTCTCATGAGCAATTTCTGCCTTGAGCTCTGCAATCCGAACTTTCTTGCTCTCCAAAGATGTGCTGCGCAAAGATGGCTGTCCAGCATCCGCCAGCCAGGCAGCCAGAAAAAGCCATGATACAGCCCGCAACAGCATACGTGGCAGGTGTTTGGGCAACACCAACTTCGTTAAAGCCAGCAACTGCACCCGGAAAGCCATTCAAGGAAAAGCTTGCCGAAGCATGAGGCCTCAAATGCGATAGCCGTCCCAAGGGAGTACACCAAAATCAAGGCAAGGTGATGCATAACCAAAATATTGCGCCCCTGTGTGGAAAGGCGAATGCAAGATTTTGGGAGCGCTGCAACAGCGTAAGTCAGTACAAGGCAAGCGGTGAGAGATAGACATTCTTGAAGCGGGGAGGAGTGGCATGGAGGAAGACGGATTTATGGCTGCTGTCACCTCGCTACATAAGCTTGTCCAGCCATGAAGAGTCCCACAGCTTCCTCATGTCAAGCAATCCATGTTTTCCGTCAGCGCATGCGAATGCCTGGGGGCTTGTGATAGCCAGGCTCAGGCATACATCGCAAGCACGGCCACCAGTGCCTGAGAACACACGCATGTATCATGATAGGGATTTGGCTTCAAATGACGACCAGTCACGGTTTCCCTTGATAAGATATTCCAATTTGGCTCAACATCTCGACCTCAAATGCTTGCAAGAAACCTACACCCTCAAAGACAGCCGAGGATCAGACAATAAGCGATCCTCGCATCGCGCTATTCTTCTCCTGTCCTGGAGCTGGGACCTGGCGTGGGTCTCTCAGAGGCTTGGGACTGTCCAAGGTGGTTTCCTTTTGGTTTCCCTAAAAAACACCATCCAAGAAAAGAGTGTCTGTACCAGGACGGAAGTCCACCCCACTTGCTGCACCTGTGACTGTCTCCAACGTGCCTCCTGCGGAGCTGTCCTGCCAAAGGGTGTCATCACACAGGGACAGGAAACAATTCCCTGGTCCAGCCTCAAGCATGCGTCCTTGTCAACAAGCTCCTTGCAGGCTGAGCGCCATAATAGCGCTCAGTGTCTACAATTTGTTGCTTCTCTCTTCGGCCATGCGTTAATTCCCAAAAGGCATGCTGCGCATGTCCAAACTCACGTGCAGCCAATGTCTGTCCTTGCCAAGGCAGGACTCCCCTGTCCAAAGGCACTTTGAATTTGTGCTGCAAGAAGCCTGATCAAGAGTGCCCAAACGCTTCTGGGCTTAGTTCAGCACACACATACCACACACCACGCATCTCAGTTGATCAGATGCGAACCCTGGCCTTGTCCTTCTCAAAGATACATGCTGCCTGCACCCGCAGAGCTGCACAAGCCGCAATGCTAGAAACAAGCGCTCACATAGCACAGCTGTACCAGGTCCTGCTCATTTGTGGCTGTGAACGTGTCCTCATTTCCTTGGCACGTGCAAGCATCAGTCACCTTCCACTGGTGCAAAGCTGCACCCTGCAACAAAGAGGCCACAAGTCTCATAAGAGTAGTAAATGGTCTTTCCACGCATAGTGCCGTCCAGGTAAGTCGTGACCTCTGCTTTTTGCAGCGGAACTTCGCAACCTGATTCGCTGCATCACATTGAGGCTCGCACCTTTGGGGGTTGTGCAAGAGAACATGAACAAGGATCCACCTCGCTGAAAGGCCGTTGCACAACTGCCAGTCACAAATGATCCATCCATCCGATCAGCGTATGCCGACGCACATGTTGCCAATCAACCGGATTCAATGTGATTGTCCCACATCAGCTTATCTAAATGTTGCCATCGTGTCGTGTCGAACAATGCGCAAACACTCACAACTGGAATCTACGAAGCTGAGACCTACAATGTCCGCAATTCTAAAGGTCGCTTCTGGAGCAAAAAACAATGTCCAAAACATGCGATCAGACTGGTTTGACAAGTTGCCATCTCATCCTTCTCCAACAGAAAGTCTTCATCCCGCTTCAGAAGAAACCCAATGACAAATGGCAACCCCGTAGAGCTGAGGCTTGCACAAAGCACCATTTCCTTGCGCATTGCTAAATTAAAAACGCGCAGCTGCTGTCACAAGTACCTAAAAAGCCAACATGAAGCAGCGGCTCCTTTTGCACCACTCTGGCTGGCTCTTCCCAGAGCACTGCGGGTGGTTTGTCAGATCCTGAGTGCGCAACAATGATTTCAGCACAAATCAGCCAAAGTATAACGAGCTTGATTCCAGGATTCCCATGCGCCACATGAACCACCAGATTCAGCAGGGTAAAGCACCTGGGTCACATCACCAAAGTCAAAATACAAGCTACTCTACTGTCCAAGTAATAGTGTGGTCCCAGCGAACTTGCTTGGCAAGGAACGTCCTTGCCAGAGATGTTGAGTGCCATGCTTCCTGAAACATACTTGGAGGCGACAGCTGCGGCTTTACAAACAGATTCTTGCGCAAAATGCTCAATTTGTTGTGAAGCCACTCAAAACAAGCAAACAGGCACACTCACAGTAAAGCTGGCCTGGCATGTTGTCCAAACCCACACACCTGCAACCGCCGTGTCCCATCTGGGCAACCTTGGCAACAAGAAATCGCAGGCCAAAAGCCTTGCACGGGGTACAGGAACTGCTCCCGCCTGATCCTCGCGTCCCCACTTGCCTGAGCTCTCCGCTCGGGCGTCCAGGACAGCATGTTCAGCCGAGCCACTGCCACAGGTGGCGTAGGAATAGAACAGCGGCATGTTCTTATAACCTAGCCGCTAAATTGGTGCAACTCGAACCAGACTGCAGAGATCGCTCCGAATGTGTGGTGACGCAACCTCCACGCTCACAGGCCTGCTGAGGCAAATGTCATATGTGCTGCTGAGAAGCGTGCGCTGGGTAAATATGTGGTCATGGTTGGGAGTACGCCCACATCACATTTGCGCGGATCCACGTAACACCAGGGTTGCGAACACCATCCTTGAGCTGCGCTCTTGCATTGTGGGTGCATCACTTCGTCCCAAGCAGTGCAGCTTCCTCCCAGGTCTGCAGGATATTTGACCATCTTGCCATCAATCAGAGCAAGCGTCTCTCCATCCAGGCCGTCGAAGCCAATGCACGGACACTTGGCCGAGCCATATGGAGCAGAAACGTTTCTAGTTTGCGACGCATTCGCCCTTGAGGAGTTGAGCTGTTTGTCTGTGGCATTGAGGGTCGCATTTGCTTTGGTGGCATTGTTCGTCCTCTGTGACTGAGAAGACTTTGGCGTGGAAGCCACTGCCGAGTCAGGATTCGCAACTGGACCATGTTCGGCAGACTCCCCTCTCGCGGCAGTCTTTGCAGTAGTGGGAGATCGCGGGACGCTGTGATGCCCCGAAGCTGCATGCTGGCGTATTTTCACCTCGGCATGCATACGATTGAACGCAGCAATTCAGGCTGACTAACTATCAAGGCTTGAAAAATTAGCGTTGCACAATATTCTGCCTGCATCCCTGTTTGAATGCACACGGGTCCTTCGAGCGACAAAAGCTGGAGAGAAATAAACAAACAAAACAAAGTTGCTGATGGTGTGTTTACACGAAATGTGGTCTCTTGGAGCACCAAATATGCGGATGGAAGCATGTCCAACGGCCCATCGGGCCGAGGTGTAACATCCTCGATCGAACTCAACAAAAACAACACAGTGTTCCAAGTGTCTGTGACATGCATTCACAGCTTGTGGGTGGCCAAAGTAACTGACCTTGCCATCAAGTTCACTTGGAAAAAGTCTTCTGGACGCAACAATCAACGCTTGTGTACGTCGTCCAACGGAGTCAGCCAAAGCGCAACTGATTGCGCGTCGGCTGCAGCCTTGAGTGCCGCCTCTTTGGCCTGTTTCATTTCTGCTTTCCTGGACCGCGCGACACACGTGAAGGCCAGACACGGCTCACAGTACAATCTCTGAGTCAAACGCATTTCGTGCAATTGCTCCTGCAAAACACATGTTCGAACTGCGGTGCAACGCTACGCCCCATCTACTGCACAGTGACGTGAATTACTTTGCAAGATGCATGATCAAGTGTTCCCCATCTCATCACATGTGCTGACTTGAGCATGGGAGTTCTTCCCCATCTCCTTGGCTTTCACGACCTCTGCCTTTAATCTTGTAACTTCCCTCTCTTCTTCCGCCACCTCGGTCGACAGCTGCACAAACAACAAGGGTCACAAGTATTCTCCCAGCCTCATCATCAATCGAATGTGATGGATCAGCCTCGCATGTGTTCAATGGCTTGACATGTCCGAAAGCTTGGCAACCAACCTGGATGGCCGTCTCAACAAGATTGAATGCTGTCGGCCTTAGAATCTGTTTTGTCCGCCGGCGCATGCGCGGTACGTGTGTTTGGAGCATGGCTGGTGCGTCTTGGCCGCACATACTCCTGACACTGTGGTTGGCACAATGGCAGCTTGCCCTTGCTGGTTGTGAATGCGCCAGCCTGTTGCCGATAGTCCAAGGCATAGCGCCACAAGCTTCATTTGAATCATCAGAACCAAAACAACCTGCGAAAATAGGATGCTGTTGAGCTCTACATAGTTGAAAGCGGCACGACTGTTGTTGCGTATGTCCAAAAACAAAGTGTGGTGGAGCGATTGGATCAAGGTCACGGCTCGGGATTCCAGTTGCGGGGTTTCAAATGATCATGATGATGATGACGATGATGATCTATCATGCCGCACCCTTCGAGTTTGGGAAAGCCCGTTGGTTGACTTTGGTTTTAGGACCGTGGTTGAAAAGGTACTGCAATAAAGCCTCCAACATCAAGCACTGATGAAAGTATTGTTTGCAACAACCATTTCCACAAGCTGGTCGCACAAACAATGGAATCGATTGCATCATGCGGAAACGGGCCCAACAAAGCCATGTTGAATCATGATGGCAGTTGGAAATGGAGCGCACGGTCGACCTTTCAAAAATCCGCTATTGAAGAAAAGATTGTTGGTTTTGGCCCCTCATCCAACTCACCATGTTTTGTGTTGGCCCCTCCCTAAGCTACCGCCGCTTGGCAACTGTATCAAGCACCGTTGTGCCAGGTACTTGACACTTGCGTTTAGTCGTTCGCATTGGCAACCTACATGAGCGCGATGTCACCTCAAGATGGGCCACACAAATCGTGTAGTCACCACGTCCGGAAGCATTTTCCCAAATTGCTTTGAAAGCCTGAAAATTAGGGTCAAAGTCCAACAACAGTTTGAAAGAAAGCTGTCTCAAAAATCAAAACGAATCCACCACAACACCCACTTCAGAAAAGCAACACCCAAGAGCAGTGATTCTCAAGGCCACATGGGCGTCACGTCAAAAAACACTTTCATATTGTTCTGAAACAAAACCTGTCTCATTTGCGAAAACTCACACCCGAGAAGCGCGAATTCAATTAGAACACCTGCTTTTGAAAAGACACGTCCAAAAGCCGCTCCAACGAAAAAAACGTGCAGACACCAGCAGAGCTCTCCCTTGCCGTCCGGCCTCCGTCTAAGACTGGTAATTCAAAAACAAATATGGGGCGTCTGCATACCACCGCATTTCAATCTTAGCGCATGCTTCCTGCGCTCAAAAACCCCCGACGTATCCCTCAAGGCAAGGTGCGCAGATATTTCCAAGGCCAAGGAAGTTTGAGGAGGGAAGTTCCACGGGGAATGTTTGACAAGTTTAACCTTCCTCGACAACATGTTCGATTCTCTTGCTGAGCTGATTCCATACCTTGGACCATGCTGCGACAAAGCAGGTTTGTTTTCTTTTGAAAGTTATTTTTGTATGCTACATAGCAAACGTTTTTTTTGTTGCAATTTCTGTAATTTTGATCAACGTCAATTTCTCCATGACCTGATTGCTCAGGCGGAATCCTTGGTCGAAGAACACTCCCGAGTAGAAACAATTCTTCATAGTACCTGATGTTGCGAATAAGATTGTCGCTGCATTTCAGACTGCGGCACCGGCTTGGAGATCCATGAGACAACACCTTCAAAACTAGTGTGCCACATTGGGTCATTCCGCGGCACGCCGTCCTCAAATGATGACAGCAAAGGATGATGACTGGTGACTGCAAAATCAGTGCTGGTGCTGCTGCCTCAACCTTCCTGCACGCTCTTATCCCCATGGGCACTCAATTGAGTTTGTTCCCGATTACTACTTGCAGCCTGCAACTCTGATTGTCCTTCACTTCAGATTACTTGCCAATTAGTGTTGCATGGCTACTTGCCGCGCCACTACGAAGCGGATTTTGTCCTCTCCGCCTTGGAGTCGGGATAGGGTATCAAAAAAAGTTTTAGCATATAAAAAATGATATAGAAAACAAAAAATAGCAGGAGAAAAGAACCCTGCGCTGAGGGCTGCATCCGGTGAGTTAAGGCATGTCGCACTGCTCCTAGCTTGAACCCAAACATGAAACCTCAAAAGAACAAAGCTCGTCCGAAGCGGCCGCAGTTCTTTTTACCGGGATTGCTGAAAGTTGCACTGCTTCCAGGGCACTAGTGCGCCTGGAGCAGGAGGCACATTGACCCCCCCTTCAGTGTTTCAGGCAACCCCGGTAAAAGCGAACCCGCTGGGCCGAAGGCCTCATCACCCGCCCTTCAGAGTGGGGTTGTACCTGGCAGGGCAGATGCTAGCGGCACCATGCACGCTGGGTTGTGAACAGCTTGGCATGCGGTGACTGCACTTTTTTCTGGTCAGAGCGGCTTGAGTAAGCGGCTGGCTGACGTCGCCAGTTGTTCTGGCTGACAGGGCAACGGCGGATATTGGGTCAGAAGGCCATGTCGGATGCAGGCTAGGCTGGTGCAGCGACGACGGAGGCTGCTGCCAAATGTTCCGGACGCCAGGGCGCATGCATCGGACACATTGAGGTGAGCGCTGAGGGCGGGGAACTGCTAGGTTCCTGGCTGGTTGCACTGACCTGGCGGCAAAGACTCAGTGTGTTGGCCCTAATGCGAGCCCTCATGTGCAAGTGCAGTGTGTAGCAGGCACACTGTGTTATTTTTGGCAAGAGTAGTGCCCCATCATGTGAGGGCGTGGTATGCAAAGGCCGCCCAGTGCTGTACAGAATCCACAATCCATGACAATGCACGAGTGCCTTCGATCAGGGTGAGGGCCACAAGGCAAACGGCGATGATATGGCAGAAGAGCTTAATGCGCAAAAGGACTGTGTAGAACTCGTCGAGCATGACTTCAAGGTCTAAGTAGCTTCTGGCTAATGTGGTGTGGATGGCGTCTAAGGTGTCGCCGTCACACTCCATGGCACAAAAGGCAAGGCGTTGGATTGGAGAGTGAACGAGTGCTCTGCAACAGATGCAAATCAACATTTGGCGGATATGCAAGTGCGAATGCAAACACCATGCACGGTGTACACAATTTCTAGGCCTGGAGAGCAGGGCTTGTGCAGGTCCCGGAGGAACCTCAGTTGCCAAGGGCTCGCGGCGCAAGGCAACCACCCCGGAGGGATGCAAAACCAGAGCGAACTCAAGATTGCATGGCCTGATGCATGACCGGGGTCATGACGGATAAACCTGATCGCAGGGCTTGGTGAGGTCCCTTAGGAGCCTCAATTGCCAAGGGCTCGCGGCGCAAGGCAGCAACCCCGGAGGGCCGCGATTCAAGAGCGGACTCAAGCATGCATGACTGAGGTCATGACTGAAGGCATTGCGCCTGTGTGGAGGTCTCGGAGGATCCTCAATTGCCAAGGGCTCGCGGCGCAAGGCAGCAACCCCGGAGGGCTGCCATTCAAGAGCGGACTCAAGAGTGCATGACTGCGGTCATGAATGAAGGCATTGCGCCTTGTGGAGGTCCCGGAGGAGCCTCATTTGCCAAGGGCTCGCGGCGCAAGGCAGCAACCCCGGAGGGCAGCGATTCAAGAGCGGACTCAAGAATGCATGACTCAGGTCATGACTGAAGGCATTGCGCCTTGTGGAGGTCCCGGAGGAGCCTCAATTGCCAAGGGCTCGCGGCGCAAGGCAGCAACCCCGGAGGGCCGCGATTCAAGAGCGGACTCAAGAATGCATGACTGAGGTCATAACTGAAGGCATTGCGCCTGTGTGGAGGTCCCGGAGGAGCCTCGGTTGCCAAGGGCTCGCGGCGCAAGGCAACAACCCCGGAGGGATGCAGTTCAAGAGCGGACTCAAGAATGCGTGGCTGGGGTCCTGACAGAAGTCAGTGCACCAGTGTGGAGGTCCCGGAGGAGCCTCAGTTGCCAAGGGCTCGCGGCGCAAGGCAACAACTACGGAGGGATGCAATTCCAGAGCGGACTCAAGATTGCATGTCTTGGCTCCTCACTGCAGTCAGTGCGTCTTGGGAATGTCTCGCAGGAGCTGTACAATGCCTAAACACAGGAGTAATGGCAGCGGTCATGGCGGCCTGAAACGCAACAACTAAGACCGTAGCGGAGGGACAGGCGTGCACTGCAGCTCATGTTTGCAGAGGCTCGTGATTGCTGCAGGCGAGCTAGCCAGTCGAATGCAAGGAGGCAAAGTGCAATGTAGTGGGCTCAAGATCCAGCCGCGATGGCGCGTCACCTTTTTACATTAGGCCATGGTGAGGAAGGCAAGGCTGTCACAAAAGGCAGAGCGTCGCCAGTGCATGTGCGTCACCACAGGCTGCGACAGTTGTCACATGGTTGGAAGGCAAGGGCTAAGACATCGCGCCGTGCCAAGTGGTGGCACTGCCGATGATGAAACACCTTGCGCTTTGGCAGGATGTACACGGTTTCGGGGCGGCATGACGGCTGGAAATCAAAGGACCCAAGGAGGGCCTTGCGGTACTGGCGTAGCAGGCACCAGATGGCAAGGCAGGTTAAGCCGGACACAAGGGCTGTGTAAATGGCGAGGCACACTCCGAAACACAGCAAGGCGTCCATGGCGGCGTTTCCAGTTTCAGAAATGAAACCGCAGGTTTGGGTCAAGGCTAGGAGCAAAACGGCCAACGCATAGTTCGATTCACCACATGCCCTAAACACAAGGGAAAAGAAACCCTAAGCGAGGCGTGGACTGTTTGATGTTTGTCCAAAAAGGCAAGTGTGCTAACTGGGGGCTACATGTTGTGATGTTTGTTGTTTGTCGACAAATAGACGATGCACGCGCACGGACACGGCTTCATCACACGCGCGTGCTGTCGACGCGGCTGTTGCCGTGCTCTTGGTCTTTTGCGATGGCTGAACCATGCTTACACGACAAAGTTGCACAGGCCAAAGTTTCCTCATGCCGTTAGAATGAGAGCGGGAAAGCGAGCAACACAAAAAGAGAGTAGGACAGACAGAGAAGGAGAGACGAAGCAAAAAGGAGCAGGAGGCAAAGACAAAAGGAGGAACAAACAAACAAAGAGAAAACCAGATGAGAAACAAATAGAAAAAGAACCACAAAAGAGAATGAGACAAAGAGACAAAGCTAAAAAGAGAAAGAGGGAGGAGAGAAGAACAGACAGACAGGGAGAAAAAGAGAGAGAGAGAGAGAGAGAGAGAGAAAAAAAAACAAAGAAAGAAAGAAGGAGAGAGAGAGAGAGAGAGAGAGATAGATAGAGAGATAGATAGATAGATAGATAGATAGATAGAGATAGAGAGAGACAGAAAGACAGAGAGAGAGAGAGAAAGAGAGAGAGAAAGAGAGAGAGAGAGAGAGAGAGAGAGAGAGAGAGAGAGAGAGAGAGAGAGAGAGAGAGAGAGAGAGAGAGAGAGAGAGAGAGAGAGAGAGAGAGAGAGAGAGAGAGAGAGAGAGAGAGAGAGAGAGAGAGAGAGAGAGAGAGACAGAGAAACAGAGAAACAGAGAAACGGAGAGAGAGACAAAGACAGAGACAGAGACAGAAGGATAGAGAGATAGATAAATAGAAAGAAAAAGAGAAGATAGATAGAGAGATAGATAGATAGATACTGCGACTTATTTTGAATTCCAGAAGCCTGCATCGATCTCACAGTCATTGCTGTTCACATGCAACTGTACTCAACCAAGCTCATGTTCAAGGTCGTGGTTTCGCTGAGTTCCTGCAAGCTTAACCTGCTCCAAACAGTCCACGGGCTCATCCAAACCCTCTGAGTTGCATGCGAACACATGTTGCGCCCGCAAGCTGAGAACGAAACAAGTCTGTTCACCAAACTTTCATCTCTACACACACACCGCCCGTAAGGTCCTGGGCTCCATGGTGAAAACATAGGTCCTGCAGCGCGTAAGGTTCTGCACTGCGCAAACGGACCATCTCATCGCCTTCGCACCGTTGTGGCTTGGTGCGAAGTCCTGCCAGCACCCTTGCCGAAATCATGGCAAGTTTGGCAAATCTTGTAGTTGGCCCTGATGGCCCCCGATAGGCTCATGCGCGTGGCTCCATATTTGAGCCACTTGCAATTCTGCTTGTGATAGCATCGACCTCCCGAGGTCACATACACATCCTGCTCATCAAGCTCCTCTGCAAAAATTGGGTCTTCGAGGTTCCAGGTCTGCACTGAAACGTTCACATACTGCTTCTGCTTTGTAAATGCAACCTGAAGTGTACAAATGAATCCAACGCATGCAAACAACAGAATAAGACTGATCATCAATGCAAAAACTGCGTCAAACATCAAGTCGCTCGTGATTGGGCTC